GGTCGTACGAAATTTGTTAACACGAACGAAAGAAAGCAAAGACACTTTGCAAATAAAATTACGTTACTCTTCGAATGAATGAAACGTTCGCTAGACTGGCTTACTATTATTCTCTCTATTGTCCTAATGGGGGATAATCGTAAGATTCTCCTTGAGGGTCTCATTACGAATCAAGGACCCCTTAATGGCTCCTATGAAACTCATTGGCCATTTAACGACGAGGACGCGCCGATAAACGCTGAAAGATTGACGAGCTCGAGTGCGAATTTTCTCGTCAATCATTCTCTTCTCCATTGCGACATTTTCCACTCGCAAACTCGCAAATTAAACGAAGAATTTACAAGTTATAATCGCGAATCCGCGAACTTCGAATTTCTTTTACTTACGGAATGAACGCGAAATAACGCAAAGGAACCCGAGACATTGGAAAATAATATTAAAAAGGAAGAGATTATGGTAACAGTAAGAGCAATGTATCTAACGAATCGAAAAATACGTAAAATAAAATTGCAAGTATAAGAGTTGAGATACATAGCTGCAACGTGTTCGCAACTGTATCGTATTTTCATTATCATCAAATTGGACACGTAGCACAGCCACGAATTTTAACAATGGTAGCCTCACCATACTTGCCTACGTACGCCCGACACCCTTTATACGTTCCCCTTGCGGAAACGCGACGTCTCCATGGTTACAACATTGAAACCCCGCTAGGGGATGACAAAATGGAGAGGCGCAATACTTGGCCTGACAAAAGCGAAGTAGAATCGAAGAACTTCTTCGGCTACGTACTTGTATTTGAAAAGTCGAAACCTATATACATACAGACAGATACGGAGACTCATCAAGCCTCGCGTTAATGCATCCGCGCGATGATTAAAATCCTGCGAATGATTCAAATTATTTGAAAAAACTGGGCAATGTTGCTTTAATACCGGCGAATCATCGACACTTAACAGCATAAAAATATGTACTTCCAATTCATCGTGACCAGTTTCTGCCGATGACAAAGGGGCAGAGACGACGATCGGGACGAGTTCGCACGTTAACATTGTTCAATGGCGCCCGCATTCACGCTATCTGTCATCGAAGACCTTTCAACCCGTGGGTACCGACGAAAGGACATCGCGTTTGTCAAACGTGAAAGAGAACGGGTCCCAAGATCGTATCTCCGTATCTTCCGGAGAACGACAGACTATCCTTTCGTAATCTAAGCCTGATAGACCTTCGATGATTCCATTGCGACAGCCCGACTGCATATGACGGAACAGAACGAGAAATAAGCTAAAAACAATAGCTGCGGCTGGTCGGTATACAAAAGGGGATCATCGAGGAAAATGGCGACTCGATATACAGGCGTCTAATCCCGGATGAGACGACGGATGTGACGGTGGCGACGAAGGATGACGGAGACGAAGGTGGAAGCGGGAGGCGACGCAGACGCATCTCTCGGATTACGTCTTAACAAGCTCCACGACGTTCATTTGTCTTATCCGCTCTCGCTAATGCGACAGCAGCTGTTGAAATGATTAATTCACCACGAGGATGCTCCTACGCCTTGTTCAGACCGAACGCGCGGTCGCGCTAGCACTGCCACACTCCGACTTTCCATTATGGTTCCCGTCTCGATTAATCAACTCCCTTATCGTTACTATAAATACCGTCGAATGTTTAATTAAACATCGTTCACGATGACAATCATTTCACGCAAACGTATCGCGCTATTATTGTACATACACAGAATAGAGATGGGATATTACGAATTTAACACGCTTATTTCGGGCCTACTTGGTTTTTCCATAACAAATGCGTTCACTTACGAATGTATTTTGAGGTTAAGTATTACCGTAAAGACAGCATAGAGTCGAGGGATACCGAGCAAAGCTAGTTTTCGCTTTTCTTACTTACAATTAGGTAGATATTAGCACTATTTGCACCTCTGTTGTAAAAGTACACGAATTATTGTAATTACTACAGATTAATTATTGCAGTTATAATTACCTCTTTCATCGAGTACTGTACATATGACAAATACCCTATTGCAACTTTAAATTCCACCAGTTCCAACTCAACGTATGACAACGAAGTTTAAAGCAGTCCATATCTTCCCCTATATTTTGAAATACCTGACAATTTATGGAAAATCGAATCTGACATCCAGAAAATAAAGATATAAATGAAGAAGTATTAAATTTCAAGTTTTATCTCCCCGTGGTGTGGTTCTTAAGATCGGTTTTAAAGGAAGTATACCTGAGGTACAGACTCGCTCGATAAATCCAGGTAAAGAAACCTTATTACAACGGTTTATACACTTTGTCAAAACAATCTGATCGGATTAACTTTCGATTTCCATAATTTATCTGTCGTCAGCGAGGATGGGGAATCGGTTATTGTTACCGATCGATGACTAATCCGCTCCGGAATCGTTAGTATTCTCCACGTAAGGGCGCTAACTGACTCGATTATGGTCCAGACCCGCGAGAACAAAGGACCACCAGCGTGACAATTGAACTTCATCGCGCTGATATAAAGTTACAGATGCGAAGGGAGAAAATGAGAGGCGAATATTAAGTCGGCATACAAAATGGCCGTCGCGAAGTGCGGAAAAAATAGGGATGCGTTAGTTCCTCTCGCTTCTATATACCGCATGCTGGTTCACAGAACGCGATGCGCGTGGGGGACGAGGGACGTAGTGCGCATGCGTCAAATACACGGATCGAAAGCTCCGCCCGGAGACGGCCTTTGTTTAATCCACGGTACCTACGCCCACGACATGTGGCCAACAAACTACGAATTTGTCTCTCGACGGGATCCTAATCTTGGTTTGGAATATGCCACAGATGCTAAAAAGCATGACGTGAATGGGAATTCGATGATGTAAAATATGCCACTAAGTCTGAAGAATATTTTTATATAGCATGTACTATAATTGAGGTTATGTAATAGCGTTTAAAATATCGTACATATGTAAGGAATATTATTTTTACTAATGAGAAATACGTCTTGAAATACAACACACGGAAGAAAAAGAAAAAATTATAATTGCACAAAACCTTAAATGATACTACATTGTGAATTGGTATTATAAATAATGTTTTAATAAGGAATTAAGATTTAAGAGATTTAAAGGTTTGATCAGTTCCTAATGGATATGAAAAGATGTAGAAAATGTAATTAGCTATTGTAAATTGGCTTAAAAAAATCGTTATAAAAATTTATATACCATGTGGTAGCGTGGCCGAGCGGTCTAAGGCGCTGGTTTAAGGCACCAGTCTCTTCGGGGGCGTGGGTTCGAATCCCACCGCTGCCAATTTTTTTTTATGTTTCAAATTGTTAAATTAAACGTCATTAAAATTAATCTAAACATTAACGATACTAAAATAATAAAAATTAGATAAGTAATCAAGGTTTAAAATGAGCAACAAATATAATGAAAATAATTTTCACGTATGTCGTCTCGCCCCTTCCAGTTGAATTACCTGAAACAAATATCATTTAGAAAGCAAGAAATATTAGTAACAAAAGTTACGATATACTCATGAATACAGTACAATGATTAATATGAAATTATATAAATAGAAAGAAATGACAGACCTTTATTGCAAATATATGATCCACTATCGATAAAGAAGTGACAGAATATGATTGCATCTCATCTGCAACATCATAGATGACCTAAAATGTTTAAAAATCATTTTAAGCGATTTTAAAATACAATACGCCATAGACTAATTCTATATTTTTAAAACTGTTTTCCTGTTTATTTTATTTACAAAATCGTACGAAATCTTGCGAAACCTTGATCTTATTATTTACTTACTTTGTTGGGAATTTTTAGATCCAAGGAAAAATACATTTCATGCATTTTCACAAACACACTTTTTCTTTTTATCTAACACGACTTCGAGAAATAGTTCTTTAACAGGCCGTTTTTCACCAACAGAGGACGCTACAGTCAATCTCATATTTCAAGATCGGTAAAGCAGTCAAAGATAGATTTATAGTATACTTTGTTTGTGCTAACATTAATTTGTTGATAAAGTAGGTAATCCAAAAAAAATATTAGATGCATTCACTTAAATCATTTCTGTTCCCCACCAGTTTGTTTACGAATAAAGTAGATGATTATATGTATTTCATTATATTTTGTCATTATATAACACGCTACTATATTTTCATTTATCTTATCTTAGATAAGAAAGAGAATAACATTAAAAAACTAACAAATTATAACTTATCATTCACTAATGCTACATGATATATTGCCTATGTAACAAAACAAATATTAGCTTCTTAGAATACTATTTCATTTTAATAAAATTAGTATATCAGTGTTCTTGAATCCTAATAATTATGTACTGTGTCGGAACAAAATCAATTAAAAGAACTTATATTTTGAATCAATTATTTCGGAAAAACTTTTGTAAAAAAAGTATTGAATGATACATAATAATTACGTATAATTGTATATTGTACGCTAACTTATCGTAACATATGATAGAAGATCAAAGTACAAATTCACATTTCTTACTAAATGTGTCATGCGATTTCTCGAATTTTTACGTTTAATTTATCTAAGAATATATATGTATGTATGTATGTATGTGCATATATATATATATATATATATATCTATATACAGTTTACGAGAAATAAAATTTCTAGGAATATTTGATTATAGACTTTAATAAAATTCATTTTGACGTTGAATACAGATTCGATAAGAAGCTATATACCTCACTTCTTATGATGACCTCTACTCTCTCGTTTATGAAGATGAAAGCTTTAATCAGTAATACATTGTCAACTTCACCGAAAGCGTAGAAATTACGTTCTGTATGTGGTTAACGTCATAAACTATATCGATTTACATCTGTAGATTAAACACAACAATTATTCGATTATTTTTCTTTGTGATCATAAAAAACACGTGTATTTTGGAACGCACATTCACACATTATTACCCAAATTTAAAAGTCATACGTTTGTTTAGTGAATGATTCAAATAAAATAACATAAAGTCACTTACAAAATTAAATAAATTTTTTTACTTATTACTTATAAATAATCATGATTATAAATGATAAAATTGTTCATGTATCAATTTTGGAAATAGTTAAATTACATCTTCTCTCTTTTGTGTATGGCTTATATTTAATAGTAAGAAGATTTCCTAAATGGGTCTGGGATCCTAAGAAATTTTTCATGATGCAGCAAAGAGATAAACCCCCACCTTGTTTGGTAGACAATAACTTAGGAACTCATTCTTATGTAAAAATCAAGGTAAGTACATAATTATAAACTCTCTTGTAGTTCAGTAACGTATATAGTATGAAATTAAATTTCGATTAAAAGTTGCCCAGAAAATATATAATAATGGTCGACCTCTGATAACTTTTGGCAATATAGTAGTCGGATGCACACATTCGATTTTGATCGATAGATGCGATTATAACATCTTTTTAACGCACGTCGAAAACAGCTATGTTAATTTCGTTCTTAAATATAGAAAACAATTCAATTTATCTCGTGTCAGTCTTTCTGTTATCGCTTTATTCTTTACTATTAATTTTTCATTGTTTACGTCTGTTAATATAAACTTAAAATAATTGTAAAATTTCTTCTTAATGAACATTGAAAAAAGAAGTATATAATTTATGAACAAAATTATTATGACAAAAAGCTATATAATTAACTTTAAACAATGAAACTTCAAACAAAATATTTCTAATTTGTTCTAATATTGAAAATATTAAAAATATTAATAACTGACTGAACAATCAAAAATATAAAGAAAAAAATAGAAAAACAAACATTTTTTGTTTTCTGTAGGGTGTAAAGTTCCATTATGTAGAAGCTGGAAATAAAAATAAGCCACTTATATTACTTTTACATGGATTTCCTGATTGTTGGTTATCCTGGCGAGAACAGATTCTGTGCCTTGCTGAACATTATAGGTATAATTAATTCTTTTTAATATTTCAATAAAATTTATGAAGAAATTTTTTTATATTGTAATCATTTTTTATTTATTCAGAGTAATAGCAATAGATTTAAAAGGATTTGGTGATAGTGATAAACCAGCAGCTAAAAGTTCTTATAAAATCCAAGTTTTAATTGAAGAATTAAAACAATTTATTCTAACTTTTGGAGTAAAGCAATGCAGTATAATTGGACATGATCTAGGAGGACTTTTGGGATGGTATATAGTGGCTTTATATGGAGATATGATTCACAAATTTGTTGCAATATCATGTCCACATCCTAATTTTTATATATATATATATATATATATATATTTAACATATTTATATTATTACTTAGATGGATACACTTCAGTAGATTACCATTTCTTCCTGAAATTGATGCTCTTAAAGAAGATTTGTCAATCATAAATGATGCATTTCAACACCTTCAACTAAATGATGCAAATACAAAAAAGGATTATGTAGAAGCTTACAAATATGCATTTAGTAGGAAAGGTAAATAAAGACAGAAAGATCGATTAATATCTGTTATGTATATATATACAATATCAAAACCAAGATTATTAATTATAGAGGATTGGACAGGTGCAATCAATTATTACAGAAATCTTCCTTTTATAAGACTTAATACAGATACTTGTAATCAAATTTCTACTCAAACTTTGCTTATAATTGGAAATATGGATCCAATTATAACAGTTGAAAATATTGTACAAAGTTCTGAATATATAGAAAAATTTAATGTAAAAGTGGTCTTAGGAGCTCAACATTTCCCACATCAACAGAAGCCAACTATAGTAAATCAAGCAATATTAAAATTTTTCATGGGTAAGTTATTTGATAAACTTTTGAGTATTGCATTATGCAGTAAGAATAAACTATATTTTAGGTACAACAAGACATACAGAAAAATCATCACCTAAAAATATTATGTCTTCGTGGCTTGGTTCTTTAAGTAATACTGTCAAATATGGTAACAATATGTTTGATGCTGTTCATAAAAAAACTAGTGGTGTAGTTAATGTTTTACCCAGCAAAGTACTTTACTTAGGTCAAACTACAAGTTAAATTGCACTTGCATCTTTGTCAAAATGTAGAACTCATCAAAATCTCAATTTTTCTGTTTTTTTTTTTTATCTATATTTCATTTTCAACACAAAAGGCAATATCTAATTACTTTTCATCACGAACCAATCTTTTTTATTATTACAATAAAAGAACTATATTAAGACCTAAATAATCATAGTTTGATTATAAAGTATTCAAAGAAATGAATCTGCTTATTTTAATGACTGCTTCAATGCACAAACAAAAAAGGCTGACTTGTTTAGTTATGTCTAATATCAATATCCAATATTATTTTTAGATATATTCATATTTTATAAACAAAATAATTTTAAGTTAAAAATGTTATAACCTTTATTTAATAGACAATCGTCTTTATTTAATAACATAAATATGTAAATTTTAGAATAGTATTAAGGTACATAAAGATCTGTCTTCTCATAAAGTGCAATATTACAAAATTATCATTTTATAAAAGATAGTATACAAGAATATATTAAAATATTTGTTATACTAAATTTAGTAGATAGCATATTATAACACATAACAAAACTGTAAATAGCTGATAAAATTATTTTTAATAAAACATTGTATATATTTAGTACAATAATTTAGGAAACTGTAAAAAATAAATTAAATTATTAATTATAAAAATATTATATATTTATTACAATTAAAAGCATATATGCAATTATATTTTCATATTATTTTTTAAATATTAAACTTGTTAAAGTCCAGCTTTTAAATTTAATATTTTATCAAAATAGTTAAATAATTTAAATACTCAAGAAATATTAGATGTATATTCTTGGAATACTTCATTTTTATGTATTAACCATTGGCAGTATCTGTTTCATTATTCTATTGTTTATCTCTTATTTATAATTTTCAATAAATATTATTTTGTTGCATTTTTCCAAGTTTTTTTCTGTAATAAAAATCAGTATTAGTGAAGTCATTTAAGAATAGAGAACTGAGACAATATGAGATAATTAAAATTATATTGTTTCATACTTACTTTCCAAAATTCTCGCCATCTTCAATAGTTTCTGGTAATTCACAATTCATTGTTTCTGGTAGAAAGAAACATAACAAAGCACCAAGTAATGGTCCAGCACCAAATACTAATGGTGGTAACCAAGGTTTAATTTTTCCCTGAAAATGTATAACTTAATATAACATAATTATGTTATAATAATATTATATTCATAAAAAATATATTGATTAAAAGTGTAATAAACACCAGAAATATTACCATTGTTGCAATATATGGTGCAATCATGCTTCCAATTCTTGCACAAACACTTCCTAGACCAACACCTACATTTCTGACTACTGTTGGAAATGCTTCACTGCTATATAGATATATTGTTGGAAAACTAAGTGACATTCCCGCAAGACCTAGTGTAGCTAAAAATACTGTAAAATTTGAATCTGATATCACAGTCAGTAAAAGTAAACTTACAGCAGATAAAATATTTCCACTTATTAAAATTCTCAAACGTGATACACGAGATATTAAAAGTAGAACTACTATAGTTCCTGGTAGTTCAACAGCAGCTGAAAATAGTATACTAAATCTTCAAGTCATATTCTTGTTAAATAAGAACAATTTATGACTCTAATTATATAGACTTACCTGATACAGCAACATTTACAAAGATATTACCGTCAATGTAACCCATATATTGTGCTAGTCCAAAGAAGTAACTACCACAGACAAACCAATTAATACATATACAAATGGTTTTCAATCTTAGATTTGGAGTTCTGAACAGGTGCGTAATATTATATTTGTCTTCAATTCGTTTACGATAATTTCTCATATTACTTTCATATGTTTCAATTGCTGTTTTAACATTTTCTATTGGTATCTTATTTCTGTTAGCTGCTTTGATCAGTATTTGTTCTGCTTTCGATAATTTACCAATAGCAAGTAACCACCTTGGTGATTCAGGTATAATCCTACAATGTATAAAACTCTCTTTAAACTCTATCTTAATTTCATTGCAGTAGGATATCTTAAACTAACAAAGTTTCTAAATCAGTATATATTTTATGATTGATACTACATACCAATAATACGACAATAAAAAGAGTGATGGTATAGAAACTGCCATTTGAAAACCATCCCATGTATGTGTTAAATATGAAATTAAAGGATTCATTAAGTGACCCAGTAAGAATGGCACATGAAAGAGGACTGACATTGTTGAACGCCATTCTATTCCTACAATCTCCATAACTGTAATATATTAAATAAATTATTTTTATAAATTTATATAATATTTTCTTTTGTTAATGTAACTTATAAATGACTCACGTAAAACAAAGCTAACAAGCATAGTACCACCGGTAGCTATAGCAGAAATAAATTTAAATATTACAAATAGTTCAAACCATGGAACAAATGCACTTATAAACCCAGTTAATGATTGTAGTCCTATGGCAATCATCAGAGGTTTTTTCCTACCAATTCTGAAACATATAAACTACTTTTAGTAGATTGTAAAGTTTAGATCTATATAAATATATTTTTCCCTTTTATTATATTGTAATAATATTTAGCATACCGGTCGGCCATTATACTGAATATTAAGTTACCAATAAGAACCCCAAGCATTATACAAGATTGTATAAAATTCGCTAATTGTTCTCTATCACAGACCAAGTTCCACTAAAAATAATTATAGATAGTAATTTTTATATCTACTTGCTTGAGGAGAAATAATAAGTTAAAAATTAAATTTACTTGTGTTATAATGCTCTCTTTAAATATGCGCCTGTCATATTTAAAATTTGTACATTTTTCCATAGTACCATTCCCTACATTTACATAGCATTTCATTATTGTAGATTCATTAGTCATTGATATTGGTGCGGCACATGAAAAATTAGTCGGAGGTGCCAAAAATATAATAGACAGTTGATGCCAAGCAACTGGAAATTTTACAAGAGACAACGCTATAGCAATAACAATATGCCATGGGCCCATTACACCCATAGCATTCTGTATCACATCTAATGGTGCATGTTCTGAAAATGAAATTATTCTTATTTATTTACACAATTACTTGTACGATTACTTTATTATCGACGGATGGAAAGTATTGATGTTTTTATATTATTCGCGTAAAAATATAACTTATTTTTAACTTAAATCTTTATACTTAATAATGAATATAAAATATCATATTTTTTATTAAACAATATAATTTGTATTATAGAACTAAATTCAATAATATTCATAAAAAATTAAAATTATTTATGTATATATATGCACATTATCTTGTGCATATTATGTATATATGCACAAGATGAGAGATAATAATATAACAAATTATAAACGTATTACAAACTATCGTAACTTCTTACATTATTAAGCATCAGCATACAGCATATACCTTTACAAATGTAATAACGTTATTTAAGTGTCAGATATGTATTACTCAAATTACCGTAACATAATCTCGAGAGCAGTGAAAGGTTCGAATTAATAATATGTTTGTAGGAGCATATGTACAATGTCTATTTATACCCAACGTGAATATCATTTGTAATAATTTCCAACAGTTATGATCTTTAGAAAGTCATGAAAGACATTTTATGGTTTAAAGTTTAATGCATAAATTATGAGTATCTATAATAAAATTCACAAAAATTTGAAAAATATATATAATATTGGCTTTCATAAATACATTTTTGAATGTTGGAATTCGAAGATATGTTTCTTTCCAACAATATTGATTTCAATTGATATTATTCGTAAAATTATCAATTAAATCTTTACATAAAAGCATCTTAGGCCATTAAGAAATGGAATTATGCACAACAATAAATGTTTTTTTTTTTTATTCTAGTGTATTCCGACCAACTTTTAAAGTTTTAAATTATATGCAGAGTATGTAATTAATATTTTGGGTCACTTATTAATGGAACATAGATAAGGCATTATTAAAACAAATAGATAGTCACAAAGTTTTATGTTATAATTATATTCCTAGAATTCGTGTATGGTGCATGTAAATTGAAATGAAAAATATCAAAAAGTAGAATTATATACTAATTACCTGTAAAAGTTGTATTTCCTAACAGTTTTTTTTTTTTTTCTTATTTTCCGAATAACAAAGGAATTTTATCCTCTAATTTTTAATTGTATTTTTTAAGATGAAAATTTATGCTTTAAATTAGGCAAATAAATCGCCAACAATGTAGGAGAATACTTATTTATCAAGATATAATATGTATGTTTTAAAGAAAATCATTCTAATTCTAAAATGTAAATAAAACGTTACTTATTAGTTATATCTACAAATTTTAAAAAGTATACGCGCTTTTCGAAGATAAACCAATATATCTTTATATTTGATATATCACGTAATGCATATCACAAACTTGTTTTTTATATTATATTTACTGATTGTTTTAACTTTTTAAGTTCAGCGTGCATAGCAAATATCAATTATTTTTTGGCGTGTGTATCTCGATGATGCAATTGAAGACGCGCGGGTTGTACCACAAAATTGAATGTATATTTAGATTGAGTCGTGTTTGAAATGCTAACATGAATAAATGTAGAACTATGCTAAATATATCGACTTACCTTTTAACGCCTTTTCAAGCATTGTATTTCAAAATTTTTGTCGAATTTTTATTTGCAATACTATTACTATTGCTGTACAATGGTGCGCGCGTTCGAATGCTTGAAAGCTTCAACTCTTGTTGAGAGGATTAAGCAAACTAAAAAGAGCTCCGATATTCTTTATCTGTTTTATCGATGTAGATCACAAGCGAGAAGAAAATATCAAATCAAAGAATACCTACTTTATCGATGCTTGTGATTATTTATTATTGATTTTTGATTTATCATAACATCTCATATTATTTTTACGAATGAATCGCAACATTGGATTACAGGCATGAATAAATATGTATAAATAAGTTTATATTAAAACAGAATATTTTAATGTTTATTATGTATAACACGGTAAAAAAGAACGATATTAGAGTAAAAGTTGTAAATATTAATTATATAAATTAAAACTATAAAAATATCTTTTCGTTATTTTTAACAAGTATTTATTTTTCGAATGCAAACGAGCTAAGTATTTTACTCGCAGCTCGTTTTGGTTGATTTTCTTGTTCACTCTCGGGACTTAATTTTCTTTTTTTCAATTCTGTGGATTCCACACTACTGTTATTCTGTGAACCTACAGTTTGCTCTTTGTATCTTGTCAAGGCAATTTTAGTTAAATCTGCAGGACTTAAGTCGGGAAATTTTTCTTGTAAGCTTTTTTTGTTTTTAGCATACCAACTAATAAATGTTTCTTTTTTTGGTGTATCTTTTACTTCTTTTGTCTTTGACTTTGAAGGAACTGGTGTTGCTAACTTCTGTGGCTTTTCTGGAGTTATATCTAACCCAGCTAATCCTATTTCATAATAGAAATAAAATTTGATTTAACAATTATTATAAATATAATTAAGATAAAACAATCCAAATACTAATAATAATACCTTTTGTTATCGGAGAACTTCCACTTTTTAAGAATGGATTATTTCTTTTTAATGATAATGTTTCAGTCATAGGTAATGGTTTAATTTCTATATCTGATCTTTTTGTGATGCTTAAAGAAAGTATGGATTCTTTAGCATCATTATCCAGTGATTTGTCATCGTCTTCGTTAAAATTTGCATCGTTACTTTTATATTCCATTTCATTCTCCTTTTCTTCTTCCCTTATATCAACAATCGACTCCAATTTATTAGATAAAGCTATTCGATTTATTCTTCGAGCATATTTAATAGCTAGTTCTATAACTTTCTCTGACGCAATTTGTTCACACAATTCTACCGCTCGATATTCTAAATTATTGCGACAAGCAAGCTAATTGAATAACATTAATAAATATGTAAATATATATTTTCTTAACATAAATAAATTTTGATAAATCAAACATTAAATGTACCGCAATAAGAGAAAGCACTATTTCATTCTTTTCTGAAGAATTGGTTCCCAATTTCCATAATTTTTGTTCCTTTTCTGTTTTATCAGTTTCAAGTTCACAAAGTGGAAGAGTTAAAGATATTTCTATAATTACTGGTCGTGGAGTAGTTGGAGGATAATGACTTCCTTTGCATAAAACGCAGCGAGCAATACTTTGTTGTTCGCTTATTCCAATTATAAAATAATGATCTGCTTTACCCTTGGACTATTTTAAGTTTGTTAATGGTATATAACAAATGTAATACAACGAAATATACTTATTACCTGCGTATTCATATCACTAGCTACTTTCCATAAGGAAGATTTTTCACAATATACTTTAATAACGTCATCGGTATCCATTATTACGGGAGATCCAAGATCAGTAATTCCTAACCACATTAATTCTGATAACGGTGACAATGGAAGGCATAATGTTTGACTAAATAAATTCAGTCTCCGAATTTGAATTAACAATAAATTCATCTTTTGATCTCCTACTTTTCCTGTTGAAGTATTTCCATTTCATTATAAAATTGTTACAAATAGAAAATAAAAATGATCACAAAATAAAGAAAAAATACCTATTCCATTATGATAAGCAAGCACTAAATTATTTCTAAGTCCATTCATTGTAACTACAGGACCTGGCAGAGCTACAATTTCACGTTGTGTACCTCCCACAGTAAAAATTCTTAAATGTCTTCTGGATGTTGAAAGTGCTACAAAATTATCACCAGCAGCAACACAATGTCCTTCTTCACCTTCAGGAAGATCTAAAGACCACTCCTTATTTCCAGAACCCCAACCTATTTTTCAATTAATTGTGATTACTTTTAATTAAATTAATTTAAATAGTTCCAGCAATGATTACATATAGTACCTTGTAATGCTATCACAACAAGTTTGCTGCGTGTATCACTATTTGATGGGCAATTTAATGCAAGTGCTTGTTGTGATAATGCAGCTATTGTATGCCTTAAATAATTATTAATGTGTATACTACGATGGATCGTCACGTCGTGAAATTCCACTTCAATACTAGATTCATCTCCATCTTCAGAAGTAAAACATCTTACCATACCTATATCATTCCACACCTGCATAAATTAATATTTTGATACATATATACGTATATTATATAATTATTTTATAAATATAATTGCAGAATTAACAATATTATATTAAATGAAATTTTACCATAAAACGAGATAATAAATGTTTTGGAGATGAACCAGGTTGAAATGGCAGTTGTAAATGAATTTCAGGTGTAAAAGCATTTGCATCATATGATTTTTCAGATACTGAATCAGAATGACTTTTTTTATCATCTTCAAGCTCTGTTGATGCTTTAATTTTGTTTAAAGATATTACATTGTCCTCATCATCATCATCTTCATCTACTTCTGGAATATCAATGTTGCTGTCTTTGACATCTCCATTTGTTTCTAAATCTAGTTCATCAGTTGTTGTCTTATCAGAAACTATCTAAACATATAAAAAAATTTGTTTTACTTTCAAAGTTTTAAGAACAATGCATCCATTTAAGATACTTACAACATCAATGCATCCTAATTGACCTAAAAAATCACAGAATGCAAATTCATCTGATTTATCAATATTCCAAGATAATGCAGTGATCTTAGCATTTTGTTGATGTTCAATATATCCAATTAATTCTTTACTTTCTACATTCCAAACAATCATTTCCCCAAATGCTGAACTAGCAGCTAATAATGTGCCACATTCAGAAAATTTACATATACTAATTTCCTATAGTGAGAATATTAATATTATAAAATACATATTGTGTAAAATGAGATATTTAAATAAAAAGACGCACAGATTTTATATTAATACATTTTAAACGAAATAATTCTCTCCAAGTAGATCTTTCAACTATAACTACATCTTTTATGCTAGGAAATGCAAGATAACTTCCATCCTTAGGATGAAATGAGGGTACACCATATATTTTAGCTGTAAAAAATGAATTACATTTGGGTATAACATTAACCCAAATATTTGCAACACATTTTGTTTTAATATCCCATACTCTAATTGACCCATCTGCACTTGATGATGCCTATAAAAATTAGATATTATTATATAAAACCAAGTAAAAAAAAGCATTAAATATAATGAAGTATATTTTACCACAAACTTTTCTTTTGGATCCAAAGATAAACCTAATATAGGAGCTTCATGACCTATTAATTCTATGTTATCCGATGTATTAATATCAGTAATTTGTATTCTCATGTCACTAAAATATGACACATGTTAAACATTAAAAAATATAATTAGAGATTATTAAACTACTATAAACAAATTTTACATACCATCCTCCTGATACTATAAGACTACTATTTTTTGTCGTTGCTAATGCTGAGACAGGTGCTGAAAATCTAGTAACTATTCCTTCTTTTTCAAGATCCGGATAATTAAGAATTTGAATTGTATTATTATCATTACCAACAAATATTTTTTCATTCTGAAATCAATAAAAGATGTATAAAAAGTTATACATACCAATAAGTACATATAAATGAAGTTTATAATTAATAATTTCAGTATTTGCACCTTTGATATAATTGATATAGCTTGTTCTGAGACACAACTTGTACTTGGATCATCATCCATTAGATTTAACCAAGACCGAACATCTCCATCAGATCCACAAGTAATGAGTCCTCTTCTAAAAAATACAAATATTTCCCTAATTATATATTTTTTTATCCTTTATGTCATTGCCTTGAATCTTTTACAGGCTTTCTAACTGCATCTTTAAAAAATTCTCAACAAACAAAATAATTATCAATTATCAATTATTACAATCTATTGCATTTGTTGAAATAATAAAAGAAGTATGAAATATATTCATTTATATTTATATTTTTGCTTACTTTTCACCAGAAAAATAACAAACATCTGTGTGTCCTTCTGGATGTGCATAACGCATAGGTTTTTTTACTAATGGCATTTCTTAATAGATTAATTAATAACGTTGTATAATTTTATATGATACATTAACTAACTAAATCTTTTATTACAAACTTATGATTCTTTATACCCGTATTTTGGCGCACATTCTCAATTCATACACAGCTTATAGCTTCGATTATAAATTTTATAGATGCATATCTAAAATATGATGAAATTTATCTCAATGTTAATTTTTAAATTCATTTTAAATATGTATATAAATAATTAATTTCTAACAAGTTATTTAGAATATTAAGACTCTTATGTAACATAGAAAAAAATGGCATTATATTTATATCTAAATTCTATAAAAGTACAAATTATGAACGAGTTTATTAGCCTAACAATATAGGAAGTAAAATATAAATATTTTAATAAACACAATTTATCTATCTAGGGAATTTTTTAATACTAAGGTATCAGTTTGGATTTTATGTGGAAATACTGTTTCTGCTTCTAAGTTCCGTACAGTTGATAGCAGACGCAGCCTTTTCTACGGTGGCCTATGTCCAACGAGGAGTTTCTAAATTTTCCCGTTATAAGATATAAATTTCTTTATTAGGATGACCATGATTTCAAAGGCTGCAGTAGGCATTGCTGTTGGCATAGCTGGAATATTTGTTGGATATTGCTTTTACTTTGATCAAAAGCGTCGTAGTGATCCAAATTTCAAAAAGAATTTGCGTGAACGTAAGTCAAGCTATAGTTTTCATCAATAGCTAGTTTTTCTGAACCATGTGATACATGCCTCATTAATTTTACTTATGATTTTGAATAAAAAATATTTGTATAATTTATTAATTATTTTAATAGCAATGATTATTAATAAAAAGTAATTACATTCAGCAAATCACATGTTTATTACATTAAATCATTATTAATATTTTAAAGTGTACAGTTATTTTATTTCAAAATTTTAAGATGACACGAATTACATAAAATTTAATATTATTTCACACTTACAGGTAGAAAAGCAAAGAAAGAAGCTCAAAGTGCCACATTAAAAACTCCAGACATCACAGATCATGAAGTTTTACAAAGATTTTTCTTACGAGAGGTTAATACCTATTAACTAATTTTCAAATATTAGAAGTTCTTTTTTATTATATTATATCTGATTTATTGTAAAGGTTCAACTTGGAGAAGAAATGCTTACGTATGGTGATGTAGAAGCAGGAATTCAACATTTAGGAAATGCAGTTGCAGTTTGTGGACAACCTATACAATTATTACAAGTTCTTCAAAAAACACTGCCACCACAAATTTTCCATCTTTTATTACAACGATTACAACCTATTAGCCAGGTATGTTAACAAATTTTATTTTGTATTAGGGCAAATGAAGGGAAAATTTTGTTTCTCAGTTTTATAGGAACTAAATTGTTACAGAAACTATCAACTCAAATTTCAATGGCTGATGAAGATGTTGAATAAAATACTATACAAATTGCGTTGAATATTTTAAAATAAAATCCAACCATTAGTAGAAAGTGTATGTTTTCTTTGATGATGTAGACATTTGCGTGACTTTAATCTGGTCAAGTTTTTTAATTACATGTCTTGTTCTCCTTGATTGAACTTCCATATTCCTTGATAATTATATATTATCAATTAAAACTATAATTCATTTATATACATTTGAATTAGCAAAGGAAGAAATTTTTGTATTCATTTCTAAATGCAATCTATATTTAGAAATTTTCATTAGTAATTTTACAAATTTTGTCTACCACAATAATGAATTACAGTGGGCAGTCAAAGTATATATTAATTACAGTGGAAGCATATGCATATATATATAGTACACAAAATCTAAGCAGATCTCTAATCACACAAGATTTTCTTTGTATCTCTTTAGATTATATGACTGTAATAAACTGTTTGTATTTGTTAAATGTTTCACAATTTTAAGAGAAAATAAAAATGGAAAAGTAATTATAAAGTAAATTGATCTTATACTAGAAACTAATGATATACTTACTCTTATAGAAGTTAAAATAATTTTATGCATTAATTATTGTGACATGTTGAAATATAATGCTCCCTTATAAGGAATTCATATGAAATGTGATTTTAAAAAATACATTATTTCCTAGAAGCATTTATAAATGGCTAGAAGCATATTATGATTATATATATTCATAATGAATATATTTTATAGAATTTGCACAAATTTATGCAAATATGTATTCTACCTTGTGAATATGAAATTAATATTCTTGTAATAGATGTATCATTATAAGCATATGTACATGACATTATCTTCAACGGTACTCACTAGCATTAAACACTTTATAATTATTTTTTGTATAAAAAATGTTCTATTCTTATAAAGTAAAGGCAATAAGAAATAATCTGTTTATATCTTAGTATCATGCAAAAACTGTTTCTTAAGAAACTGTATTATGTGAAAATAAATTAATGTTATTAATAAAAAAAAAATGTAGTATTATTTTTTCCATTAAAAATTTTAAATGGATTTGGAAAAAACTTATTTGACTGTAAAAACAATAAGATTTAACATTGTATTAAGTTTTACATATTTTACAACATTAATAATGTGGTATCGCAGGATGAGTGGGTTATCTAGAGTGCGTGCGAAAGGATGAATGATCGTGCGCTAGGATCGTGTGAACGGGATGTTTATGAATGTATCGAGTGGCTTTAGGAATGCGTTCGAGTGTTTGGGCTGAGTGACCCGCTGAGGGTAAGATTGCGAGGAGTGCGTGGGAAAGTGTGATTGGCAAGAGAGAATAGGTATGAAAGAGGATAGAATGGATGGTTTTAAATAGGGATGCAAGGGCGTCAGTGACAGAGAGAGGGTGTGGAGTCGGTCGCGGTACGTGTAGTATAGGAGGGCACAGAGAGAGTTGTGAAAAAAGGTGTATTAGTGTTGCGAATATAAACGTGTTGTTAGGATTAATAAATAGTAGTTTTAGTATTATTTGTGTTGTTGTTGCCCCTCCCATCTCTACAATAACATCACTTATAAAGAAATAGCCAAATATTTTTTCTTCTAATAAAACAAGATACAATATACAATTTTTTATGTCCTTTAATTCCCCTCAATATGTAATAACTACAGTATACAATGTTTTACAAATATTATTTTTATAACTCATTAATCCATTAATTAGAGAATTCTCATTAGACGTCGCCCCTATGCATGTAATTACTAATTTATATTACAATTTTGTCATTTTATGTAAAATCTCTATAATAAGAGTAAAAAATAGGTAATATTAGTGCATAGGTGCAATGATTAAATATTTAAAACAAATTAACTCGTTTTATTTGTGTTAAATGTTTTCCAATGACGAGTTAATTCATTACAGATTAACAATTTAAAATATAAACAATATTTTTCATACATTTCTGCTTAATATAACATTCGTAATACTTATATTAATATAACGTTTAACGTTAGTTTAGTTTTCTTGATAATGATATTTATTTAGAAAAAAATAGATAACATTTACATATAGATATATATAAGCTTCAAAATAACTCTATTGCATTTATAACTTTATTTATAATCTATAGCTTTATAAAAATGTGGAATAGTGTAAATTATTATAAACAATATAACAATATTCTGCATAACTTCAAAGTTATAATACGGCAGTGTATAGCTTCTATTTAAATTGCATTTAATATTAATCAATCTTGTACATATTATTTTTTACATTTATGAAGCAATAAACTGAATACAATCTGAGTAATTATAAGTTTGCTTATCAAAATAGAAGTTGTAAAACAAATGATATGATAAATCTATTATTTACTTTAAATTATAAACGTACAATAATGCACTATGGAATTTTTATGAATTATGTTTTGTACCTTTTTTTAGTTAAATTTGAATGTTAAAATTATAACTTTTTGAACGCATATTTCTAAAATTTGTTTTCATCATCAAGAAAGACTAACTCTTACAATGGTATTTGTTAGCACTATTTTGAATTTAAAATTTCATTTCTTGCTTCTGCCATAACATCCAGAGCGTTTTTCTCTATAAGATTTTTTCCCAGATCTTTACCGAGCTGTTCAGCACCCGAAAGACTTAAATTGCTTACTTTACCAGGTGTAACACTACAGTAAAGCTGTGGTTCTCGATATGGACATTTTCTGTCATGTAACAAATAAAAATTGTATGAATAATAATATATTTAACAATTTTAATTATAAATTTCGCTATATTTTCTTACTTTGGTGGTTCTCCATCATCATCAGGTATATAAAGTTTACTTTTAGAAGTATCTTTGATCAATTTTTGTCCATCTAAGGACCATACAGCACCAGTAACTGTAAGAATTTTATTTTCTAAAGTTGAACAAACAGCAACTGGTGCTGAACATCCACCACTTAATGTTTTCAAAAAAGAACGTTCGCATACACATCTTAAAGTTGTTTCTACATCATATAATGGTTCTAAAAGAGACAATATTTTCCAATCCGCCTCTCGACATTCAACTCCCAATGCACCTTGCCCAACAGCATATAATGCTTCTTCTGGTTCCAATAGCTATAAATATTAAGCAAAGATGTAAAAAAAAGATGAAAATTTATATAAGAATTTTGTATAAAATTTTAATGTGAATTACCTGGGATATTCTATGCTCCCAGTTCATTCTTTTTAAACCAGCAGCAGCTAATATAATTGCTGCAAAAGGTCCATTTTCATCATCTAGCTTTCTTAATCTAGTATTTAAATTACCACGAATATTTTCCACTTTTAAATGTGGCATATTTCTAGCTAATTGAGCCGATCTACGTAATGAACTTGTACCAATGATACTACCTTCTGGTAAGGTAGATAATGTCTTATCTTTATATTTCTTAGACATAACAACTGCATCACGTGGATCTTCACGTCTATAAAAATTTCTATTAAAATATTTAAAAAATGTATCATATATATGAAATATTACAATTTTTTTTTTCATTGGATATAAAGATAAACAGACAAAACCTAAGAAATATAAAAGTGTTTCATTTAACAAAGTTTAGCCAAAATGTTACTAGATAAATAATATGCATTTTATGCATGCAATATGTTTTTTTCATGAATATGGTAATTTTATTACAAATTTAAATTTCAGATATACAAACTACCATTTTGGAAGAGCAAAACACGAGTAGAATACAATATTATTTTAGCTTGTAGTCATTAGTTTAGTTTTATTCTTACTTTAATATTGCACCCAAAACCATTCCTTCTGGTAGTGATGTTGGTAAATCTTTTAGTGAATGTACTAAAAAATCTACATGTCTATTTTCAAGGGCTATTTCTAATTCTTCTGTAAACAAAGACTTTTCTCCAATTTTTGGTAAACATTTATCTAAGATTTTATCTCCTTTAGTGGACATTGTAACTGCAAAATAAATACATTATTATAATTTGGTACTTAAAAGTTGATTAATAATTATTCAAAAATAGGCATAAATTATTTTAACATAAATACATATCCAAAAACATAAATAGATATCTCTTATATAAGTTTGAATATAATATTTATTATGATTTATGTATTACATAAGATTTTTAATATAAACAAGTATAAACATTTTATTAATAATCACATAACAAAAAATGATTTAAAAATATATATGAACAACATACTTAAATAAAAGAAATTTATATATATAATTTTACTTACTTATTTGAAATTCTTTTGTTGGGTGATAGTCCTTTAAACATTCTATTACATATTTTGTTTGTTTTAAAGCCAACTGAAATAATTGTAATAATTCTTTAAAATTAAGTATGAAATATACATTTTGTATTACATAAATAATTTTACTACTTTCTCTTCAAACATACAATTTACTTATTAGAATAATTAGCAAAATGTCATGCAATATAAAATAAAATGAAAATACCTACTACTAAATAAAACAGTAGAAACAATATTAAAAACTGCTGACTAATGGAGGATCAAGAATAATAATTGTCACTTATGACATTTTACAAATCATGCATTATGTCATTTTACATTACTTACAAGTAATGCACAATTTACTACTTTTTTAATTCCATAAGGAACACATATTTTGCACTAGTTATAAGGAAAATGTTATTTCTTTCAAATTTTTAAGAATGATAGCAGAAGACATTTATCTCATTATTATTATTATTTCTAATAATATCAAATTTTAAAGATGACGATGTTAATTAATATTAAATTGTAAAAATGTAGTAAAATCGTACTTTCTCTTTTCCTATGGAAAATTAACATGATTTGTACATTTACCTCACTTTTTCGTGATCCAACTCGGATTACGTCACGTGTATCCGGGGTCGTCATTGCAGCAATTTAAATTTCTATTCTGTTTGTATGTTGATTACAGTAATATATTATCAACAATAATTATTATACAATAAGTTCCTATTATTTTGGAATGTAGTAATTATACATTATGATTAAGGAACATGAGAAATTAAATTAGGTCAAAGACACGAACAACTTTCACTATGCTTGCAAGTAACCTTTAACACGAACAGATATTAACTTTAATATTTAAAAAAGGATATATGTTTCAGAATACTTAGCAATTATGTGGAAATTCGAAATTTATTTCACAGTTACTGACACTGCAGCAGAACGTGAATGGAAATTAATACGTAAGAAATGTAAAGAAAACTACATCCTTATGCACATCATTCTCTTTGCACAAAAGTGACACTGAAGAATGGGATTTAACTGGAAGCAACTGAATGGAATTGCACTATGTGCCAACTAGTGATCATGAGTTGAAAAGGTTGGTATACATCACATATTTTTTAACGCGCATGTCAAATATAACATTCGATAAACAAAGCGCGATATTTGAAATGTGTTTCTCGTAAGATTAAATAGTTTAGTTTTAGATAATAACTATAATATTAATTTTATAACTTTTTGTAGTTTGTATTATTTATTTTTCGAATTTAAATTTATAAGACATGAAAAATAAATTTACTTTACATTTCAAAACATATATATATATACATGTATATCAGATATGAATATATATAAATATATAAATAAATAAGAAATATAATATATATAATATAATTGCATTTTCGTTGATTCTAATAAACATAGAATACAATTTCAAAGCATATTTCTTTATATACAAAGTTCATTCTATATTGTGGATACATAAAATAATTTGGAAAAATAGATTCCATAGAAAATATTTTATAGAAATACAGCTATATTTTGTCATTATATAAATGTTCCACAAATACAGCTTTCGTTATTATATTTCACATAATTTTAACATTTCAAACATTGACTAGGTTATATAATAACAGAAAAATAAATAAAATTAATTCAGAATTTACCTCTAATATTTTCTTAATTATCTATAAACATAATATTAAGAATATCTTATGTTTTCAATATAAAAAATAAAATATAACAATTACGTTATACGTATAATATTTTCATATTTTATATTGCACATATATAAATGATATTTAATTATTTAATTTGATATTAACAAAATAAAGTAAAACTATTAAAAATATATAGTGTAAAGATGTAATTTTTATGCATACAAAAATACTTTTATTTGTATGAATAATTTAATTCATGAAATAGTTTTTAATTAAAAATAAAGTAATTATATATATTATTCAATATATAAGTAAAAGCATTTAAATGCTAATTGAATACTATATTGTTAATTTGCATTTCACTAAATATATGTAAAAGTTTTTAAAAATAAATTAATATATTAGTTTTACAACAATATTTAATGTCACTGTGATAAGTAGTGAACTTAATCTATCACCTGCAATCCAGTGCTAAACAATTTATTGTAACATACATCCACTTGCATTCTTTGGATCTTTGGTACTTTGATGAATTGAATCTTCTTTGACAGGAGATAAATTTTGTTCCTTTTCAATTTTAGCAGGTGTTAACCCTGATAATGTTCTATATATATCTAAGTTCCATATAGAATGATGTGATTGCACTTGAAAATCAATAGGACTCACTAAACCAAAAGTAGCTTTTGTATCTAATGTTGGAACCTCTCCTGGTATTGTATGATGATAACTTCAAAAATATAAATTATTAAAATTAAATTTTATTCAGAAATTATATTTTTTTTTAACTGTATATAAAACTTACATTAAACCATTCTCACGATTACACTTATCAAGTGTAAGTTTTACTATGGGTGCTAATCGCTTAAATACAGCATGTTGATCTGGTTTTACTTTAGGTGCTGGTCCATTTATTTTTCCATACTCTTGACATAACATTTTTGCTTTTTTCAAACATGCTTCACTTTCTTGTAAGGCTTTAATTGCTTCCCCACATTTATCCATGGATAATAAATTTTCACCACAATAATTATAAGCCTACAAAATTTAATTGTTTAAATATTTTTATTTCTATAGTATTTATCTTTTTTAATAATTTGCTTACATAAGACTGGTAAAATGCAGCTTTAAGTTCTAAATATTTAATCCACTGTATTGATATCTCTGGTTTAAATGAACGTAGAGTATTAGCAGCATCTAGAAATAATTTGCTTGTTTCATTAGCTAATGCTGATATTAAGTTGGCATTATGTTTTAATTCTACTGCTCTGGCTACTGTCACTGTAATATAATATAAATAAAAATATATATTCATTAATATCTAACTCATTATAAAATTTTATGAATTTATTCAATATACAACCTTCTTGTGCTTCTGCTGTACATTGATTCACATATGCATTTATTATTCTTGGATCTAAATCACTTCCTAGTGGAGGAGGATTTGCCAATTGCGGTAAAAATTCTGTTTGTACAAAGGTAAATATTCCTGCAGCTCTTCTTAGCATAGTATGTACATCTTTTGCTTCGTTCATATTTATACTAATATATACAATAAATGATATTTCTCATAATATCATTTGTAGTTATTTTATATCGTATTATGTTATTATATAAGTATATACTTACTCATCTTTAGCAGCAATCATTGCAGCATGTTTCATAAACCAAAGTCCTACATTCATACTGATATTAGCTGCTTCATAAACAGAATCAGCACTGGAACTATAATAAATATTTTGAATTATACTGTAACTCGTATTTCTTTTTGAATGAAATTTATGTAAAAAAAAGTATTACTAAGTATTTGATCCCAATAATGTATGTGTCCACTTATACACAATAACATTTCTAAGTTTGCTAGGATTGGGTCTACCAACGTGTTCAGACTGTTCTATAGCAGAGTTTATTTCCCATATAAATCCATATAACAAGTTTAAATAGCTATGAAATGCTGGTTCAATGGTATCACTTGAATTATTTGGATTTTTAATTAAATCCAAAAGACGATTTCTTGATAATCTTAGATCACTATAATGCAACAAATGCAATTATAAGATAATTATTTTTTGTAATATAATAATTATTTATTTTATATTTTACATACTTCTAATTCTAAATAAGCTTTTCGTGGAATAACAATATTAAAAATATTTATTGATCACATATAAAATTAAATTAAATTTGATTTACTTTCTTCATAATTATAGCTAACCTGCATAGTTTTCTTGTAGCATCAGTAGGATTAGTTATTTTTAATTCGAATTTTTGATTTGTCGTAGCTTTTAGTACATTACGATGAAACCAATGTGCCATTTTGCTAATGATTTGAATTAAACTATTTTCTTTATTAGTATTCGTGTATTTAAATATAAATACAATATACTCAATTTGACAGATAAAGGAAATCGAAGCAGACAGCACGACACTACTACATGAACATTATATTCAATGAAAGATATTCCACTTTTTGCAGAGATTGTGACTAGATCGCTATTCTTTGCACACTTCCGCTTCGTGTGTCATTAAGTAACTGAGTGTCGGTCGTCATATTTATTATTTTCTGAAAGATAAAAATCAAGAAACAATGTATGTATAATAATAGATACCATTATAGATAAATAATGTACGCTTTGAATTATTATTATAACTTTATTCTAATAATATTCAATAATTATTATTTAACCTATGAAATTTTGAAATATATCACATAAGTGTTAAATTTTTATTTATTAGAATGGTTTTATTCACTTTTAAGTAAATAGAATTTGTATCTTTTATAAATTTTCAAATTTTTCCAAATTTTTCCAAATTTCATAGAAACAATCTCGGAAATAAGAATGTCCTTCAAAAATGCAGATACCTTATCTATAAATTGATAAAATTGAAAGATATCAAAGAATAATTCTATTGTAAATTTTTGTATACAGTTTTATGATTATTACTAAATTATGATTATTGTTTTTTTATATTATTGTTTATTCCAGATGGGTGAACTCACAGGATTAACAAACAGTGAAGCACGTGAACTTTGTAAAAAACCTGACCCAGCAACAAATGGTTACATAATGCAGCAAACAATGTATCGTATTAAAGATCCAAGAAAGTCACTACCATTTTATACTGAAGTACTTGGAATGCAATTATTACAGAAACTTGATTTTCCCGAAATGAAATTTTCTTTATACTTTTTGGGATATGAAGATCCAAAAGATATACCTACTGATAAGAGAGAAAGTATTGAATGGACATTTAGTCGTAAAGCAACTATAGAACTTACTCAGTATGTTTAAAAACTATATAGTCCAAATAATATTAATTTCATTTTATTGAAATTAATTTTGATTGTTTGTAGTAACTGGGGCACAGAAACTGATCCTGATCCTAAATATCATAATGGGAATACTGAACCTCGTGGATTTGGTAATATACTCTTTAAGTAGTACATAATTGGAATATAAAACAAAAATATCAATTTAATGATGTATATAAAATATAAGAATATTAATATAATATATTTTATTAATATATAGGCCACATTGGAATCTCAGTACCTGATGTAGAAAAAGCATGTGAAAGATTTGAAAAGTTAAATGTGAATTTTGTAAAGAAACCTAATGATGGTACGATGAAAGGACTTGCTTTTATTAAAGATCCGGATGGTTATTGGATTGAAATTTTAAACCCAATAAATATTGCAAATTTAATACCAAATCAATAAAATATTTTGCATGAAGTAATTTCTTTGATTATCCACAAATGTATAAAATTTATTTGAAAAAAAAAATCAGAAGTGAAACCAAATCATTTGTGTATGTGTATATGTATATATAATTTCATATGTACATGTACATATTAAGATTGTAATTATTCATATTTATGTATATTTTATAGTATCTGTACATTATTATATTACATTGTGTTATATGTATAATTTATGTATAATGTAATACTTAATTATACTTCAGCAAATAAAATCAAAATATTTATTTTTGAATGATTAATTTTGCACAGAGTTGGGCATTATTCCAATAGCATTTCAGACAAATTCTACGAATAAAACTTTATTCGAATAAATAAATAATAAATAAATAATTAAAAGTAAGAGATAAATAATTAAATAAAATAAATTATTAAAAGTTAAACAAATAAATAAATGAAATAAATTGTTAAAAAAATTAATAAATAAATTAAATAAATATAAGTAAATAATCAATAAATTAATTAAATAAATTATTATAAGTGGAAAATAGATAAATACGCTGATTTAGTCGGTTCAAGTTCAAGACATTCAAATCATGACGGCCAAGGAGCAATTGACGTGTCCTGTGACCACCAAGTGCCTACATGGATCGAGGCAACCTTTCCAAGCTCAAACGGAAATTTCCGAATTCAACCGATTTTTCAAAGATTCACAAACGTTTTATAATAGTTATTACATAGTTTATTGCAAATATATACTTCGTATAATTTACAATAACAATATGTACATTAATTTAAATACATACAACTATTTTTTCATATAAAAGAACTATTTACTTTCACGTAATAATAATTTTTAATATGTAAGTGTTTAAAACAACTTTTTAAAGTTAAAAAACTTGATTAGTGGCTAAAATCAATATTAATCAAAAAGATCTTATGCCATACCCATCACCTATCCTAAATTAAGCTAAAATTCGCGTTTATAATAAATTTTATGAATTTATTAACTTACATATATATTATATATATCTAACAATGCTTCCGTACGTTTTTATTCAGCCATTTATGAAATTTTTTATAAGTCCAGTGTTCCAGTAATGTGAGTTTCTAAATCCTTTTAATTTTTAATTCTTAAAATCTTTTTATTCATATGAGCTTTTCTTTATCATTAAAGACTTCTATGTTGATTTTAATTTTCTTAATTTATAAGGTTTTAGTCGTGGAGATTAAGTACTTTTTAATTTGTTCTTTTCGTAATAGAAACATATTTGTACTTCCTCTTTTGTTATTAATAAATATAAGAGACATCGATACATTAGCACATAGCTATTTCAAAGACGAAGCATCTTCCCGCGAAAACGAGGCATAGCTTGTCCAATCGCAGAATACTTCTAGTCGACGCGAATTCAACATGCCGGTAACACATGGTGAAATATTTTCGCGCGTTAAAGTGAAACTTTCATTGTCTAAACAAATCGTTTCGTGATGTAGTCTTATCATTGATCAGTGTTTTAATTACTGTAACTGACGAAAGAAGTATTCAACAACAATAATACGCAGTATCAGTTATTATTTCGGAACACTGAACTTTTGTAACATCGTCGTGATATGTACGAAAGGACCACCATACAAGATTAAATTGAGAAAACATTACCAAGAACAGGATAAATAACTGTGAACATTTGTTTGGCAGTAACAAACCACATGTGGAGAAAAGTAAAGATGTATATATGAAATAAAGTGACGGAAGTACAAGTGCATGTGAAATCGCGCTACACAGTTCAATTTTATCGTTTCTATTTCCGTAATTAGGCTTTCGGATTAGGTTTCTTTCCTATACAGCGTTAATTAGGCTTTTCTCTATCTCATGCACAGATTTTTCTACGATTTCCACCATTCGTGTCCGAAATTTAGTGACGAAGATGACCGTGGCTGTCAGATCGTGCGGCGTAATAGGTTTTTTCTCCTCTATTTCCGAAATAAGGCTTTTTGATTAGGTTTGTTCTATATATCTGCGTAGAGGGAATTCTTCCTTAACGGGATTGAATATTCCTTTTTAGTTTCAAGCGTGCGTTTTCGCAAAATAGTGCCGAAAGTGTCAATGGCTGTCAGATCGTGCGATGCAATTTATTTTTTGGCTTCTATTTTTTGAATTAGGCTTTTTGAATCGGATTTTTCCACTAATTCGCATAGAGTGATTTTTTCTTTAACGGGATTGGATATTTTTTTTCGGTTTCGAGTGTGTGTTTTCGCAAAATAGTGCCGCAAGTGTCAGTGGCCGTCAGATTGTGCGACGCAATTTACTTTTTCGGCTTCTATTTTTTGAATTAGGCTTTTTGAATCGGATTTTTCCACTAATTCGCATAGAGTGATTTTTTCCTTAACGGGATTGGATATTTTTTTTCGGTTTCGATTTCGCGTTTTCGCAAAATAGTGCCGAAAGTGTTAGTGACTGTCAGATCGTGCTGCGTAATAGACTTTTTACTCTTCTATTTCCGAAATTAGACTTTTTGATTCGGATTCTTCTATTTATCAGTGTAAAGTGAATTGTTCCTTATCGGGATTGGATATTTTTTTTTCGGTTTCGAACGTGCGTTTTCGATAAATAATGCCGAATGTGTCTGTGGCTGTCGGATCGTGCTGCGCAATTAACTTTTTTCGCTTCTAGTTTTGAAATTTGGTTTTTGATTAGGTTTATCCCATATATCAGCGTAGTGTGAATTTTTCTTTTACGGAATTGATTATTTATTTTGCATTTGTGGCGTTCATTTTCGAACAATAGTGACGAAAGTGTCTGTGGTTGTGAAATCGTGCTGCGCAATAAACTTTTCTCGTCTCTATTTTCGAAATTATGTCTTTGGATTAGGTTTTTTCTGTATAAGAGTATTAATAAGGATTTTCTCTAAGGAGTGGGTTGATCTTTTTCCGTTTTCGCCGGTTTACTGGCGAAATGCAATGCCGAAGGTGTTAATGTATGACGGATCGTGCTGCGTAAGAATTTGTTGCTTTTTTATTTTCAAAATTTCGTTTCAGGACTAGAAATTTTCTATTTAATATCATGAAGTGTACTGTTTTCTAACGAGTAGGCCGTTTCTTTTTTCGATTTCGTCGGTTCAGTACCGAAATACATTGCCGAAGGTTCACGTGGGTGATTTTTGCTTAAAAATGTATGAATAATAAAAAAATTGAAATTGTATTTTTTAGTCATTCCTCGAGTATAAAAAAAATATATAATATTGGTATTGTTTTACTATGGTCATATGTCACATGCACATACACTATACCTATATTCATAAAGATAGTATTATTTGAGTGGAATATCTTGTAATACAGTGTTCCTAGGTATCTTAGCAGTATACAACAGAGAAATGTCATATTATCATATATGACTTATAATCTCCATTATATCATGTCTGTATAACCGTTTATATTTGATTTATATCTTGCTTATAATATTATATTCGGACAACATTTTCTCATTTAGATTATTAATATTTTGTTTATTACAGAATTTTTAATACTCGTGTATTAAAGTAAGGTTAGATTTCAAACCGCAACATTATGTACACATCCAGTATTTGTTAATCAAAATTGTATTTTAAAGAATTAAGAATTATATTTTTGAATTCTGTCTCTGAGATAAAAAGAATATATGATTCAAATATACTGTATAGTAAATAACATTCAAACTTTTCTTTTTTAGTATGGTAGAAGATAAAAAATATGAAATTGACAGCCGAATTGAGTGTGATGGACATCAAGGTACATTAAAGTATGTTGGTCCTGTTGGGGAAACTAAAGGTTTGTGGCTTGGTATAGATTGGGATGATCCAACTCGTGGAAAACATAATGGTACATATGAAGGAGTAAAATATTTTAAAGCTAGGTAAGACCATATAAACATATAATGAATCTTATATAATAATTGTATGAATAAAATATTTACATGATTATAACAGGTATCCTACATCAGGTTCCTTTATACGCCCAGGTAAAGCAAAATTTGGAATTTCTTGTCCTGAAGCTATTAAAATTCGCTATGGACTCATCAATGATGAATTAGCGGGCATTGACAGGGACACATTAACAAGTTTACAAAAAGAAATTAATGCTCCTTTTTTGGAAGTTGTTGGTTTTTCTAAAGTAAATAAAAAACAAAGTAAATTTGATCAATTAAAAATAGTATGGTTGAGAGAACAGTGTGTTAGCACTGCTGGTAATCCTGGTGAATTAAAAGAACTATGCCCAAATTTGGAGGAGTTAGATATATCTAAAAATTTAATAAATCATTGGCAAATTGTAGCAGACATCTGTTGTCAGCTTCATTGTCTTGTTCGACTTAATGTAAGGTAAATTCATAATTAACAATGATGATGATGATGATGATGATGATGATGATGATGATGATGATAATAATAATAATAATAATAATAATAATAATAATATTTATTTTTATAATTATTCGCTATGTCCATCATTTCTTTAGTGAAAATTATTTACCAACTGAAGAAAATATGCAAGTATTAAAAGATTCATTTTTGATGATTAAGTATTTAACCATAGCAAAAATGAACTATAATTGGTTTGATATTCAACAATGTATGTGTATGTTTCCATCTCTTCAAGAACTATCAGTTTCTTTCAATATTCTTAATATCATACAAAAGCCAATAAAAACTGACAACATAATGAAAATATGTAAATTAACTCTCGAAGGAAATTTAATATCAAGCTGGGATGAAATTCTTAAATTAGATTCATTTTCATGGCAAGTAATACTAGCTTTAATTACATGCAGTTCATTACAATAAAATTATTTATTAATATAATATTTATATTGTAAAGTTTTTTTTACAGCTTAGAGTATTTGAATTTAAATTCAAATAAAATAGATAAAATAAGGTTTCCAACTGTTGAACCAACAGCAAAAACTACAGCCTTCTTTAATTTGCGGCAGTTACATATATCACAAAACAACATATCAGAGGTAAAATAAATATTTATATGATGTAGGTAAATTATTAGGTAAAATAATTTTATAATATAATTTGTAGTGGCAGTCAATATCAGAATTAGAAAAACTTAATAATTTAGAAGATTTGAAATTTAGAGAAAATCCTATTTTGAAAAATGAAAATTTGGAGACTGCACGTCAGTTAATTATAGCAAGAATTTCAAAATTAAAGTTTTTAAATGGTACTGAAATTTTATATGATGAAAGACGTGGTGCTGAGTATGATTATTTAAAATTATTTTTACCAAAGTGGATAGAGAGTGAAAATGATTCCGAAAAAAGGCTTCAATTTATAATTGAACACCTCCGGTATCCAGCATTAGTTTCAAGTAAGTAAAAAGTATTATAATGTAAATATTACAAAATTAATAATATACTTAAAGATTAATATTCTTTCTAATTATTAATTATGATATGTTATTTGAAATTTTTAGAATATGGAATTTCTGATATCCCTACATCCAAAGTAAAAGCAGAAATGATTTCTAATGTCATAACAGTGGAGTTTGTATGTCCAGATCATCCAAATCAGCCTAGAGGAATTAAAAGAAAACTATTAAAAGATATGGAAGTTCAAAAAGTTATTGGACTTGCACAAAGACTTTTCAGAACTGGAGGAAAAATACCAAGGCTCTCATTTATACAACAAAATGTAACTACGATATATTAATATAATTGACATATAATTTTATTATGTATTTTTTTATGCTTTTTTATGTAATCTTTTAGCTTTCTAAGGATGAAATACTTTTGGATAAACCACTTCAAGAACTCAGCTATTATTCAATACAAGATGGAGACCAAGTTATTGTAAGGTGGTGATATTACATGAATTGTTCATAGATATAATTGTATTTTGTACACTGTTAAAATTTCATCACCATACTTTGTTATTAAACTTTTTTAATTGCATAATTAAATTAATTTTTTATATCCCATTTGTAACTTGTCACTCCATCAATTTTTTACTTATAGTCAATTTAATTAATTTTATAAAATATTAATACTATTAATTTATAAAAATTGTATATTATTAGAAAAAATATCTTTCAGTGTAAAAATCAATACATTTTATATGTACTATGATACAAATCCTATACAAAGCACATATTGTAGTAAATTTTTATACATTATATGTTATCATATTTGATAAGATGGCACAAAATTTGTTATAAATGTAATATTAAATATTTAATTTTGTTGCGCCTTCTGTTCAATTTTGCCATACTCTTCTTTTTCAAGCTGTTCTCGTGTTAACAGGGACAATCCTAATTGATTTTCACGGGTAAATGGCTGTGCCATTTGTCGTAACCAACGTTTACTTATCTATAAATTACAATAAATGATTATTAATACTTGTTTTGGAAGCTTTCAATCTAGAATTTTACCTGTACAGCTTCTTCAGTTGATAAATTACATAAACTATCAGTTAAATGTTCCTGTATCCATTTTGGTAATTTACTTCGTTTATCTATTCTTGAAAATCTCTGCAAAAATAAATTTTGTTAGTGCATTGATTATTGAAAATCAAAATTATTTGTGATAACTTTTGTTACCTTATCTGCAAATACCATTATACCATAATCAGTTTTTCCTCTAATTGCTCTCCCAACGCATTGAGCTGCATGCCTCATTGCATCAAAAGTTAAAAAATCATTTTCTCTAATCTATAAGAAATAATATACATATTATATGAACATTTATAAATTGAACTTACAACGTTTAATAACTTACTTGAAACTGATCACGAAGATATTCCAATCGTGCCTTTAAAATACGTGATTGTGTATATACATAGGGAATTCCAAACATTAAAACAGCCCTTCCCAAATGGTGATCAAAATCAACTCCTTCTGATACCTTACCACGTGCTACAGAAAGCAGGACAGCACCCCTTCCATTCTCACATGCTTTTATGTAATTTATAAGAGCTAAACTTGTTTCTGCAGAATCCTGAGTTTCAATAAATAATAATTTATGCCTTTGAAGCTGATCTACTACACCTTGGTCATACCTACAAGGATAAGGTATAAATATATAAGAATAAATACACTCATTAATGCATACATACCACGCAGCAACAACAGACTCCATATATAAATAAGAGGTAAAAAAACAGACTAAACCATCTGGAACAGTAGCTGCAAATTCAACTAAAAGTTGACCATAATTTCGTATAACAGCAACATCTTCTCTTGTTTCATACTTTGATGAAATTGCAACTTGATCATTACCTTTTGCTACAATCTTATACAATTTTCAAATTAATTATTGAATGTAACTAATGTTAAAAAAAATAAATAAATAAAAACAATATACCTACCATAGGTAAAAGACAGGGTCTTGCTAATGTCATGGTGAAGGAAGACATTATGACTGGGTGGAAATTTAAAATTTTAGGATACATATCTAATGGCGATAATGTTCCAGATGTAATCACTACTGACTGAAATCTATCAAATATAGGTTTCATTGCAATGGACGAATCCAAACAAACAAAGTGAAGAATTGGATTTAGAACATTAGGTGTTTTGTCATCAAATGGTTCTACTATAATAGTAAAACCTTTTGTATATGTAGAAACTAATGTTGCAAGATGTGTCACTAATATTATTGGTGAAAAATCAGTTAAATCTGTTATCTCCATAGTACGTAAAAGAGAAGCAAGTCGTTCTGCACAAAATCTTAATGGTTTACGTTCTATTGAAACTTTTGCTTGAACATCTCTCAAGAGTGCAGCGGGTGATTCCTGAACTACATGTTGTACGCGTAAACGCGTTTTCAGGTATTCTACAAATCGTTTTAAAAAACTAACAAAATGTTCTGCATTTCTAATGTTACCAGGAACCACCTCTATAACAAAAATATTTTAAGTAAATTTATAATTATTTCAGCCTTATTTAGAATTAAGAATTTACCTTGTAAAACTTCATTTGGTAAAACAGGATTAGCTAAAATAATATCGGTTTCTCTTGCAACATGTGCATTTTTTAATCCTTCTACTAATCTCTCATATTCTTCCTTTAATTTATTTACATCATCTTCTCTCATCCTAAATTAAAAGTATCTATAACAACTATCAACATTACTTAATAAAATTTAATATATAACTCACTCAGCCACTGTTTTTTCAAGAAGTTGTATATTGCCTGAACTTTTTTCTAAAGTTCTCCTATTTATTTTTACACTCATTGAATCAATGCATACATTATCTAAAATTAATTGAATGATTAGAGTCTCTTTAATTTGTATATCATACATTTAATGTATTAATTAAATTGTACCTATGTTATGAGCTTCATCAAACACTACTACAGAACTTTTGCTTAATTCTTTTGACACAGTTTCTGCAATTTTTGGATCTAATAAATAATGATAACTGTACACCACAATTTGAGCATGTAAAATCTGAAATTACATATAAAAATTAGTACTTTATATTGTTTTAAAGTATACTATATTAATAAATATACTATACTAATTAGCTGTCTAAAATGCTTACTGTAAACCTTGCAAGGAAATATGGACACCAATTGCGGTCTCTTCCATATTCTTTTAAGTCATCAATAGAATATATGCCTGGTAGCATAATTTGTTCTTTGCCTTCTATGTCAAATCCTTCATAAAAATTACAAATCGGTGTGGATTCATCATAATTATGTCTCTCACGAACATATGATGCTGTGAGAGAATGACAACGTCCATCAACAATTTTGCCTTCACGTTCTCTGCTTACCTAATTTACATGTGTGATTAATATATTCATATACATATGCATTTATCAAAATGAATCAAATACAAAATTAATTACCTCTGGATGAATACACATATTTTTTCGTGAACTAAGAACTAAGCCAACAATCTTAGGTTTACTTCCTGTTTCTTTTTCATAATAGTCTATAAGCTTTTTTAATTCTTCTATGACTTTTTCTATTTCTGGTACTGTACGAGAACAATAAATTAATTTTGTTACATCCAATGGATTTTCCAACATGTATGCAACAATTAATGACAAAAGGGTTATGGTTTTGCCAGTGCCAGAGGGCATTTCTAATAAACAGTGTCCCTAAAAGTATATGTACAATTTAAATCTTATTTATTTAATAATTGTATGGTTCAATAGATGTATGAAATAAATACTTTAGCATCCAAGCCTCGTTTGAGTTCAAGCATATATGCATATTGTTCTGGATAAATATAATCGTAAGGAAAATATACAAGTAAGCCGTCAACGCTGATTCTGTAAACATAAACATTTAGTTAAAACTTTTGTTTTAGAAAGTTAAAAATTTTCTAGGTGAATATTTATATTTACTTCATATTCCAATACGTTCTATTACATAAATAATAATTTTATACACAATAAAATCATTTAATTATTAATATAAAAACCATGAGATTTCAAACAAAGATAAGGTTATACATATAACGTTATTTCATCCGTTCATGTCGCACAAAAGCGAACGTATTAGTTCATACGCTTCACGGACTAGCAATTACATATCTTGTGTTCATAAAACAATATTTTTTTAAACTTGTGAAAAGAAACCATTATTTCTAAAAGCATAAATATTATATGTGTTTAATTTATTTCAACACAATACATAGTTAATCTATATGCAAAGAAGAAAATAATTAATACAAATATATTTATTTATCATAAAAGTAATTAATATTTAAAATAATGATAATCGTATTGTAAAATATATAAGTAATATTAAATTTCAATAAATTAAAAAAATTTTATATTAAACTATTTACAAAGTATTATTGTTGTTAATATTTTTGAACTATTAATCGATTTTTATATATCGATGAACATGAATTCGATATACCGGTTTCAACCGGAAGGTGTTAAAACTGAATGCCGTTTCCGTGAAGATTTAGCGTCTGTAATGCTACACGTGTATGGGTAGATAAAATTTTAAATAAAATCGGAATAGAAATTTAGGTATTTAAGATTTAAAATGGGAAAACCAGGTAATTAATAATTGTTTTTATGTTAATATTATATCTAATTATTTAGAAAATAAAGATTTTTAATGTTGTAATATATTTCTATAATTTGGCGTGTAAATAGTTACTTATTTTATACTGATACAGTACACGCTTAATTGTTTTATAAAATATGCATATTTATTTGTGTAAACATAGTAAATCATTTTTTATATGAATACATAGGTTATTCAGTCAGTCAAATCATATTTTCAGTGTTTGTATGATAGTTTTACATTAACCTGTATTTGTATATTTAAGGTTTATTTTAAAATTTATTGTGTGTTTTAAAACTTTAAACATGTTGAGAATATAAATTTAGTATAAGATTATTTTATGCACTTCTTTTTTATATAATATATTTTATTTTATTATAGGATTTTCACCAGGTGGCGGTGGTGGATTTAGAGGGGGTAGAGGAGGTGGTCGAGGAGGAGGTGGTGGTCGTGGTGGAGGCAGAGGAGGTGGAGGAGGTGGAGGAGGTGGAGGAGGTGGCGGTGGTCGAGGTGGTGGTAGAGGTAGCGGTGGAAGAGGTGGAAGCACTCCACGAGGACGTGGAGGTAGAGGAGGAAGGGGACGTGGAGGTGGTGGCTTTAAAGGTGGCAAAACTGTTGTCATAGAACCACATCGTCATGAAGGAGTTTTTATAGCTAGAGGAAAAGAGGATGCATTAGTTACTTTAAACTTAGTACCAGGTTCAGAAGTATATGGCGAAAAAAGGATAAGTGTAGAGGTATATAAATAAAATAATATAATTTGTTATATAATTTATAAAAATTGTAATAATTATTGATTTGAATATTGCAGGGAGAGAATGGTGAAAAAATTGAATATAGGGTTTGGAATCCTTTTAGATCAAAACTAGCTGCAGCTATACTCGGAGGAGTAGATCAAATTCATATGCCGCCTGGCAGCAAAGTTTTATATTTAGGAGCTGCATCTGGAACAACAGTGTCACATGTAGCAGATGTTGTTGGTCCAGTAAGTTTATAAAAATATTTTCTTAGCATGTACAGGTTATAATGCATACATTAGAGCCAATTTAGTATAATTGCTAACTTGGTGTCGGAGTTATGCTATAAAAATCACATACTCGTTTTTCTAATTGGGTAAAATGTAGTAGGTTCTGCTCCAAAAAGACGTGTGTACAAAATTAACACTTATACTTTGCAATTGATAATTACATTATATCTACAAATAATTCTTAATAGGTGACAATATATTGTTTGTTTTCATTTACTGTTTTAGGAAGGATTGGTATATGCTGTAGAATTTTCTCACAGGTCAGGTAGAGATCTTATAAATGTTGCTAAGAAACGAACAAATATCATTCCTATAATAGAAGATGCAAGGCATCCTCACAAGTATAGAATGTTGGTTGGAATGGTAGATACAATATTTGCTGATGTAGCACAACCTGATCAAGCCAGGATAGTATCTTTAAATGCTCAATATTTTTTGAAGAATGGAGGTCACTTTGTTATTTCTATTAAGGCAAGTATATTAATTAACATTAAAAAAGAAATTGAAAGTTAATATCGTTTTTCGGTATAAATTATGCATACATTAAGTATATGTGCGTTTATATGGTGGCTATTTTGGTTTAGGCAAGTTGTATAGATTCTACAGCTCAACCTGAAGCAGTATTTGCCTCGGAAGTGAAAAAATTAATTGCCGATAAATTAAAACCACAGGAACAAATCACGTTAGAACCGTACGAAAGAGATCATGCTGTTGTTGTTGGAGTTTATAGGCCGCCACCGAAGAAAGCTACCTAAAATTATATATATGTATATATGTTAAGTTTAATTATTAAGATTGCATCATAACGACTATGATCTTTAGGATATATACAATAAGTTTTAATTACGAATGAAAAGATAAAAATAAATTGTAATATAATGTAAAGTAGACAATTTATGCGCATATAATTTGGACATTTTCTATAAAACAAAATTAATTTGATTATTGTTCCTGTACAGATTGTATACAAAAAGAAACGTACATGTACGATTGTTTAATACAAAATTTATATTTTAAATATCATATGATCGGTTCACTTATACTTTCATACAAATAAAAAAATTTAATAATATATGTATTGTGTTTAATTGTATACAGTAAATATGTTTTCTAGTTTTATATATCAAGTGTTATATAAAAAATATAGGTTGTACATTTTTACCAATACAAAAACAAATGAAAGTTATAATTACATTTATACATCTCTTTATTCAGAAAAACTTATCAAAATTAAATTTCAAAATTCTTGTACAAATTAACTAATTAATTCATATTATAATTATATCTTACTATGTTATATATGAACTAAATAAACATGCCTCGTCCACTGTTAAATATATCCAAAAGCGGTAAGATGTATAGATTTTCAATACCTTTATAAATGATTCTAACCATATTTAACGATCATAAATTACTTTTAGGATATGCTATCGATGAAAATCATAAATCATCAAATAAAACACTTAAACTTAAAAAGTCGATAACTGCAGCAAATCGTAAATTTAATTCAACTGTGAAAAGTCAAGATCGTTTAGTAGGAGGAGCAGATGTTCCTGAAGAAAAGGAAATATCGCAACCAACGGGAGAAATTCTAACAGAAATTAAAGTAGAAGAGGATGAAAAAACGTCTACTGGAAATGACGGAGAGAAAACTAGAAATGGAAGACCTATTCGTTCAACTGGACCATGCTGTACTTGTCTGTCACAAGGATCAACTGGGTATAATTACCATTTTTTTCGTAACGAAACTTAACGTATATGGACAGAATGTTCTGTCAGCTTGAAAAAGCATTTTTTGTAATAAATTAACATTCAAATTCACTTTAGTGTTAAATACCTTTTTACAAGATATTGTCTTATGAATGCAGAGATAAGAAGGTGGATGAAATGATCGATTATGTACACAAAAATTTACAAGAAGCGGGTAAAGCATTGGCCAATTTAAGCGAGAACTTTGAACACGATTCAAAGGTTGAGCCCCGTACGCAAGTAGAACCGTCATGAAATTGGGAAAACGAGGGTACAATAGAGTTGTTCCATAAAATTCAATATACGAATGAATAAAAACGAATAAATGAAACTGTCGTTTAAAACTCCCAATTTCGTAAAACGAATAAATTTCTATATTTTTTCAAAGAAAATCTAGTCTCACATAAAATATAAATAAGTGTAAGGTAATACATGCAAATTGAATTTATTTTTACGGAAGTTGATGTTCGCCGACATACTTGGTCGAATACAACAATGGTGTGGTTTGGTTCGAAACAAATTGGATATTTGTGAGAAAGAACTCGAAGCATTGCGTAACGAACTGATTGCACGAGCTTGTGAAATTGACAATCTAAGAAAATTATTAGCAGAATGCGAGGAACGCGAGGTTTGTTTGTTAATTAAAATCTGTGTCTTATTATAATTTTTACAACAATTATATGATTGTAGAAATTAGTTACAACTATTACACAAACGGAAGAAGTTCCTTTACAAGCCGAAGTAGCGACAACTCAAATCGATGAACATCCTATTGAAGAACATCCTGTGGATGATAATATAAAAGAAGATATACAAGAAGCTAGGATTTTGGAGCCTGAGGAAGTCAAAGTAATAGAGATAAAGCAGCCTGAATTGGAAATTATTTGCACGGACGCAGCTATTCAGTCTATTTTGAAAGACAAAGGAAGAATGAGACGAGAAATCGAAGTAAAATATTTTCATGTTTCTCTCAGAATCCAAACGAAGTGTGTTGTTATATTAAGACGTATTAATTCGATTAAATAGCTGGAAGCTGAAATAGCAAGGCTTCGCAAAGAAAACGAGCGTATTATAAAAGAGCGTGCCGAATATGAGAATGCGATACAACGAGCCTTGTTACGAGGTGTTTCGTCTTTGAATGTCGAAGCTTTGAGAGTTCTACGTTGTCCACCAATTCCATGTTGTTCTCCTTGTGCACCTTGTCCTGCTTCTGCTATGTAAGATTTTTAATTTCTCACAATGAAATCGATATTTAGAATCCTTGGCAGAGTAGGAAAGGAAAAAACAATTCTAATGACGAACTTGAAAGAATTAAACAAAAAGAAGTTCCAGCAAGGATAGCTATGTATACATTATCTGAATACTTTTTAAACGCTTGTGATTATGATCCCTTCACTTCGAAATGAAAAAGAGCATTTATTGATCTGTATCTAAGCAAGGCCAATCCTGACTCATTGAAGTTTCACTCTCAGGGAACCGATTGTGCCTCGTAAGAAGGTTGGTACATTGGCTAAAAGTTGCGTCACTCAACGTATTGGTAACGGAAAAAATTGTGTTCGCGAACAAGGCTATTGTACTGTAAAACAACCTTGTGCTAGTCCTTGTTGTTCTGCTGGACGAAGTCGGAAGTCTGTGTCGAACAATAGCATGATTTTTCTCCTTCATCAGGGAAACACGGAAAATATTTGTGGCTCGAATAACTACACAATGCCTCGAGTCTGCGGTTCACCGGTTATGAAAAAGATTGAAATACCACCGTGTCCTAGATTTGGTAAATAATGAAGTTTATTTTATTATTCTACCATTATCGAAGGCCTAGCTTTGAAGTTAATTATTCACTTTCGTTAATGTTACCCGCGAAGTTAAATTTTATTTATCTGCATAGTAAATAGGTAATTTATATTATGCTTGTATTTCTTTTAGACATAATATGATAATACGTAATGTAGAAAGGTGAATTCGCTTAAGAAAATGAAGTTGCTACTGCTGAAATATAACTACACGGATCGTCCAAATTTGAATTTATCCGTAATTTATTTTATGATGTAAAAGTAATAAAAAAACATGATATTGAAAGTATAAATATAACTTTATATAATATTATCAGAAAAATATTATAAATATTAAACATCCATTCTCATAAATAACATTAAGATTTTCATTACTTAATGTAAAATAGAATTGGAGGACATACCGAAGGTAACATGATATTGTATCTAACCTTGTATATGATACATCAAATATCATCGACACGTCGTAGTTCATGCATTTCATAGTTCACTGAATGCGTAATGAAAGTATAACATCCATATTGTTAAATAGTATTGGAAATAATAACTTAGATTCGATAACATGTTCCGCTTTCACTAATCTTCGAACCTAACTTATTAAGTTACAGACTTTTGAAACTAAACGATGGTTGAAATTTAATACGTACAGTTGACGATGTATTATTGACATAAAATATTAAAAATTAAAATATGTAATATTGTACCCCTTTTAAGTATTAAGCATCATTACGCTTTTGTATATAACTTTCAACGATTTAAATACGAAGTTAGTTCGATTACTTAAAGTAATTAATCTGATAAGATGAAATTATATATAAATTAGAGAGTGATTCGGATGTATGTACCAAGAAATTTCGAAGTCGAGTGTTAACAATAATCGCATTGTTTATCAAATAAATTTTATAATCTTTCTTTATCGATTTTTTTCGATTATCAAACCAGTTTCCGATGCACATTGTATGGCTGTAATATTGTGCATCGAAACTACTGCTTTTTATTATGAAATTTTCGATAAAATCTTAAGAAAAGTTACAAACATAAATATTAAGTTTCTATAATGATCATTTTTGAAATGAGAAGTAGTTGCGCCTGTAATAAGGGATTCAAAATACTAAGAAGTTATAACGATAGAAGGTAAAATTAATACAAAATTTTTTAAAACGTCCCGTGTTGTAAAACGTATGGCTGTTAACGTTTTACAAGTGAGAAACGATAACGAAATCGGAAAGATCAGCCGGTACTTGTCTGCCGGGAGCAGTTGCTTTCAAAATACAATAGGCTTATCTCTGTTTCTCGATCGGCACAATGTATCACGACGCGAACACTTTTTAGTCGGAATCGTTAGTATAGAATCTAAAATACGTATTGTCACGAGTCACGAGGCCATTGATTGAAAGTACCCTGGCAATCGTTCAGTTCATGCCGATCAAGAAATTCGGTATCGGAATTTCCTAAGTTCATTTTCATAAACGACGCAGTTGCTTTACTAAAAGACACTTTAAATATTATCGCACATTCTCTGAATACATTAATAACATTACAAAGATATTTGCGAAGAATAACAACAATCGAACGATTAATTACAGCTGGTCCAGCAGCATGGTAATGTTATTAATATATTTTTAGAAACGTTCTCCTCGAGCACATGCGTTGTCGTTTCGCGAAACGATTCGTAAGTTCTCTTTTGTCGTACTAGAAATCTTACTAGTAGGTCTCGAGACTTACGCAAAGTTTCCGTATGTAACTACCATATTGTCTTTGTGTCATTCGATTAGCAGTGTAAGAACGTCTTATTCAAAGACGTCTTAGACAACATCGTCCAACCTTATTAGCCGCTGTGTTACGATAGTCGAATAGAACTATCTTGACTATACGACAAGAGTCATAAAAAGGAAATATTTTTTATAATCTTCACATGTACGAAATAATGTATTCCTTAAAAAATAAAAGGAATGTTGCGAAGAAGTACGCCATAAAATCAACTTTTTTTGGACGCCTTCTAGAGTGAGGTAGCATTATGACAAAAACGTTGGAACAAGAATCATGTCAGGGCCATTCTAAATACAGTGGTCCCTTGGCCAATAACAAAAAATATGCTTTACAGATTCGACGAAAGGTGTTTACTTGTTATGGACCAAATTAAGGAATTCCTCGCGAGTCTTTGGGTCGTCCCGGAACACGCCAAGCATCGTTGACGTAACCGTCTTGCTGTTTATTTTCTGCACCCCTCTCATCACCATGCACATGTGCCTGTAATATAAAAACAGCATTTTTTATTAGCACGGGAGTCGTTATACGTTGAATAATTAATTATGTATCACCGTTAGTATCAAGAGTAATTAATTTACATATGTTAAATAGAGCTTAAGATATCGCTCGGATCTACGCTACAAGGATATTGTTATCTAAGGAACGAGACTCGAAGACTATTATAATTATGTTACGTTGCAACGTATAATTTTAATTAAACGGAAATTACATTTGTCGCAATGAAAATGATACCTAGTCTCGGGATTGCGAAAAGAAAGAACGAAAAAAGGAACTGGTAAGTTTACGTTTAGCTCTTCTTTTTCGTCGAACATATAAGAATTTTTTAATTACAGAGTAGCATTCCTTTATCGAATCTGCTTTTCCTCTTAATCGAATGTAAGTTGGGCAATCTGCTCGCAGTTAATGATTACGCTAATTAACACACGTAGCGTAATATTTAAATTATTGAATATATGGCGCCTGATGTTTAATGATCTAGATTTTCGTCGATGATCTTGTTTAACGCAACACTGACATTCTATTACGCGGGAATGATTAGAATTTTTTAAATATTTGTATATACGTTTTTAAATCAGGAACGAAGTGTTCCCTATCGGGAGAGAATGCACTTTAATTCCTTACTATGTGATAGCAGCTTGTTAGTACAAGGTAACATTCTTACGCATGATTAGTCCTTGCGAAAACTATTGCTTAAGAGACACGAGTGCATTGAAATGAAACTGAAGAAGGTACAGAAACATAATGGTACTACACACGTTCGCAGTCTTCGCCTTGTATAACTTTGTTTCATCAAACGCGAGAATACTCGAAGAATTATTTTTAAATATACAAATACGTACACTCCTTCGACAACCACAGCCACGCCTGCTGGTTGCACCGCTTTCGTCACCGCAACTGCGATTTGCTTGGTAAGCCGTTCTTGAACCTGAAGACGTCGACTAAAGATCTCCACGATCCTGCAGGGCATCAAACGAAAAGACAAGAATGAATAATAGGAAAACTTTATTCGTTAAAGAAAGATAAAGAATAATAAAGATATACGGGAAGAAATCGAAGAGCATCGAATGAATAAGACGGCTCGGGACAAAAACGAAAGTTTCTGCTACGACCATGGCTCGAATGTCTGAAAATCTACTACTGGCTCACCGTTTGAAGGCTAATGTTAAGTTCATAACATTTAACAGGTAAGTGAACACACGCCGATTGAGCCTAGCAATGCGTGAAAGTGCACGGCGTGCCAACGATCAGCACCCGTCGCGTCGTATTCATTTCTTCCCGCTTTAATATTCCTCAATCAAGGCCGTAACTACTGCCGATGCAATTTGTTATCTCGAAGTTGTGAAACATGGTATCAGTATTACTACACGATTAAACTTTATCCACCAGCATTTTAACCAATTTTCTTCTTGCCATTGCTACACATATATACCCAAATTTCACGATAATCGAACCGTCTACGGAAATAACGTCAGATTCTTGCACGATCGGTTCAAGAAAATTCACGATAATCTGACGTAAGCAACTACAGGGAATAAGCGATTTATTATCGGTTCTATTGTAATAAATATTAACCTATTACGGTTAATATCTCTATAAACCTGCTCATGCTGCAAGCATAATCCGTTAACCGTCACGGATTACGCGTTTTAATTACTAGAAGAATAAATCCGTGCAGCTCGAGAGATGGGATGATTAGCGGGAGAGCGCGACAGAACGTGGCGCATGATGACAGTTCAATCAAGCGATCTAATTGATCACCAACAAATGATCCAGCTTCAATTACTTTCCATTTTCACGAGACAAGATATTAGCTGTTTTAATCCAATGAATGATTCAGCCGGTCTCACGGGGTTTAATTGCACCGACTTCTCCAGTTACGAATGTTAATCCGGTTCCCGATAACGTAGCCTTCTAATCAAGGAAATTCCTCGTTACCTAGCTAATTTGCTGAGGCCAAGGATCTTCTTACAAGGAAGGTAACCAATCGAAACCTTTCCGTAGAACGGGACCAAATGATGCTCGCACATGGAGAACATCTCGATATCCTTCACTACGACCATCTCGTCGTGATCCTCGTCGAACACCGCGTCATTTATTACATCTGGAAAGAAAAAGAAGAAGGATAAGAACCTGGTCTAACGCTTAAAATACGAAATCAGATAACAGGCTACCATTTCGTGAAATCGTGTATCGATATTTATAGACAATGTCTATAGAGACCATGTCTAACGTGCATCGCACAATCCTAAGGACTTGGGTGATAGAAAAGAACGAGACTTGGATAAGAAAGGAAACTGTTCTCGTTTAAATTGTTCTACGAAAGAACATCTTGCACGTGGGTTAAGGTCCTCGCGATCCTAGCTGTGATTTACTCGATATTGACCTACTTACTACAACGTCCATGCTAGTGGTGGTGTATAGGTATAAATCGGTGGTTGGTAGGTGTCGGTGGGTAGGTAATGGAGGGTGCTCTCCACGGTTTCCACGGCAACCTTAACAAGAAACACCTTCACAATGACCAGCAATGACGAAACGAATTCGCCACGGTTAACCAAGTGTATTTTTCCATACGTAACACGGTGCACCCATCGTCTGTTGTAGAAGAATGGTCCCTCGACGCCCTCCAACGCCATCGAAACAATGGCATATAAATTCACGATGGACTTTCACGAAGGAAATTTATTTCCACGCTTTTACGTACAGGTCCATCCTCGTATTACATCCCTATACTACATCCCTATTCTACATCCCTATGCTACATCCCTATACTAGGCCAGACTTGAGCAATTTCCTCTCTTCTATATACGTACTGCCTTTGAAGCCGACGCTGTGAAAGCGCACAGTTTAATTTTTCGACTCGATGATCTAATGCGATCAACCCTCGTTCTGGCTTCGACGAATTCATCGACTAATTCCAATGGATCACGACGGTTCTATAATTTGCATCGGTAATCCATAAAGACGGAAAAATAGCCGAGGACGAGATGGAAAGGGTAAAGTGCAGTCGCAAACATATGGCACAGGAAGCTAGATGAAAGGCTATATCGATTTTGACATTGCATCTATAGAGCAATGAGCCGTGTGCGACATTTTTATGCGATATGAACCAACGTATCAGCGATAACCGCTCGTGATTTTAATACGTAACATATACCTAAATAGAGGATACGTAAGACGTCCACGTGATAATAAACGAAACATATGACGAAAATATATAGCATATGTAATCACCTTTCTATCAGAATGAAAGTCGGTCCCGATATCGTATCAATCGTATCAACGATGATCATTCATGATTTTAATACGTAATATATACCTAAATAGAGAATACGTAAGACGTCCACGTGATAATAAACGAAACTTATGACGAAAATATACAAGCATATGTAATCACCTTTCTATCAGAATGAAAATCGTACCGATATCATCGTATCAATCATATCAACGTATCAACGATCATCGATCATGATTTTAATACGTAATATATACCTAAATAGAGAATACGTAAGACGTCCACGTGATAATAAACGAAACTTATGACGAAAATATACAAGCATATGTAATCACCTTTCTATCAGAATGAAAATCGTACCGATATCATCGTATCAATCATATCAACGTATCAACGATCATCGATCATGATTTTAATACGTAATATATACCTAAATAGAGAATACGTAAGACGTCCACGTGATAATAAACGAAACTTATGACGAAAATATACAAGCATATGTAATCACCTTTCTATCAGAATGAAAATCGTACCGATATCATCGTATCAATCATATCAACGTATCAACGATCATCGATCATGATTTTAATACGTAATATATACCTAAATAGAGAATACGTAAGACGTCCACGTGATAATAAACGAAACTTATGACGAAAATATACAAGCATATGTAATCACCTTTCTATCAGAATGAAAATCGTACCGATATCATCGTATCAATCATATCAACGTATCAACGATCATCGATCATGATTTTAATACGTAATATATACCTAAATAGAGAATACGTAAGACGTCCACGTGATAATAAACGAAACTTATGACGAAAATATACAAGCATATGTAATCACCTTTCTATCAGAATGAAAATCGTACCGATATCATCGTATCAATCATATCAACGTATCAACGATCATCGATCATGATTTTAATACGTAATATATACCTAAATAGAGAATACGTAAGACGTCCACGTGATAATAAACGAAACTTATGACGAAAATATACAAGCATATGTAATCACCTTTCTATCAGAATGAAAATCGTACCGATATCATCGTATCAATCATATCAACGTATCAACGATCATCGATCATGATTTTAATACGTAATATATACCTAAATAGAGAATACGTAAGACGTCCACGTGATAATAAACGAAATTTATGACGAAAATGTACAGCATATGCAATCACCTTTATATCAGAATGAAAGTCGGTCCCGATATCGTATCAATCGTATCAACGATGATCATTCATGATTTTAATACGTAATATATACCTAAATAGAGAATACGTAAGACGTCCACGTGATGATAAACGAAACTTATGATGAAAGCAAACAAGCATATACAATCAGCTTTCTATCCGAATGAAAGTCAATTAACTTGTTAATTCTACCGAAGATGAAATCGCTTTTCTTTCCTCCAAATTTTAACGTCTAATGACTTCCGATTTCGCTCCATTCCACGATTTTCTCTAACGACTACGAGAGATCTTACAGTGGAAGAGAACCGAGAACTTGATGCTTTCACAGGGTGTGCGTATGTACATTGCTGGCGGGAATTCGGCCAAGCTTATCGATAAGAACGAAAGGCAAAGAGAAGTCGTCTGAAGTCAGATGGGGAATGGCTCCGTGGAAGTGTGTAGCGAGGGATGGAGACTACAAGAGGGTGTGGGTCGAGCTTTCGTTGGAAAGTGCCCCGGACTCGTTTCAGATTCACTGGGGCGAGCAGAACTACCGTTAACCGAGCTTATCTCGAAGGTAGTTTCACTCTAGATGGAAGGAGGGTTAAGTCGAAGTGAATTAAAGCCTCTCCACCACCTGTAGCTGCTATTTCACGTACATCAGAGCCGTGCAGGATCGTGCTATTTGTCGAGAGGTATTTAAAACGATCAAAAGTAAAATAGCAGACGCGAACAGTCGGTTCGACAGATTCACCGAGGCTGACTGAGAAATTGTTCGACGAGGAAAATTACGTGTAAATTACGCGTATATTCGACAAATTGCCCGGATATCGTGAAAGTAAATGGAAGTTTGATATCGAAGGTGGTATAATAGAGGATCGATTCTATTTTACTCAGCTGTTCGCGGAATCGTAATTACCGGGGAACAGTGGCGGTTCTGCAGGAGCAGGAGCGATAAATGGAAGGAAAAGGTGAAAGGCATTCTTCTCGAGCTGCCGTGCGTCCCTGAGACCCATTTATATCGTGAGCTTTACGCTCTCTTTTTTCGAATCGTGCTTAAGTCTTTCTCTCTTTTCCCCTGTGACGGATCTCGAGTAGCTCGAGGAAGGGAAAGAAAGAAATGGACGGCACTTTCCTCGAGTGGGTATATTCATGGTCTTATCTGTTCCATCGACCTTATGTTCTAAGAGAATCGTTATTAAGCGTTCCTATTATTTTCGACTAAGTAAAAAATTCGGTTCTTCGCAATTAATAAAACGAGTCCCGTTTTATCCGATTTATCTGTATTATGAAAATTGATTTCTTGCTTCGGAACGTAAGTTATCCAATTAATTATCGAATTGCTTCCTCATCTTGCGATGATAAAATGCTGAAAACGACTTACCGTCGATGCTCTGATCGTAGCCTTTCGTGAAGAACAGCATGGCTTTCGCGGCACGTTCCGGCGTCTTTAACAATCCTTGCCGATCAGGATCCTCGCCTAGGGAGCTCAAAAGTAGCCTGTAGCTTCGTGACATTTCTGGGAGCAGGGCTTCCCGCGTGGGTGGCCTATGGTCTAACTCCAGATCGTGATGAAACATACATTTTTCGTGACCTGGAAAAAGAGAGGATCTTCTTAATTCTAAAATGCTCGTCGCCAATTGAACGTTTACCGAAGTCAGCGAAATCTGTCAGTCTTATCGCGTGTACGGATTTAGATGATCTATGCGAGACTATCGGCGATACGATTACGATTACGATTAAATCGAAGTGTCATTGTTGTCATTGTTGCTCACGCTTATGAAAAATCCCACGATCTTTAAATTGAAAACGGAGCAAAATACAACGACGTGTAAGCGTCGTTGTTATCTCTGGCAATGACCCGAGATGACTGTGTGAGAAGGTTCGGAATAACGAATTTGTTTGTGCGTGATAACGAAAAATCGATGGCTATTTCCTTTTTTCCCAGACTCCAGGAAACCAAAACCTATCCACCGCTTTCAACCATGACACCTATCATGACACGAATTCGCAGGGTATAATCTGCAATCTTCCGCGTGCAAACACGACATGTCTTTGTCTTTTGATAAGGCAATATACGGGGCAAGGTTTCGAAAGAGGCTCGAATGGTTTGGGAAGGAAAACGAAATGAGCGATTTCTATAGCGTTTATTACGTCTAGATGCGAAACGCCGAGACACGATCTTAATTGGCAACTCGAACGAATCGGAGTAGTAACGTAAAAGGAATTATCGGCGTAACAATGAAACGCTGAGCTAATCTCAGCTTGTTATAAATTCTTTGGACCAGTTCTACTTCCCTTCCTTCTTTTTTACCTCCTTCAAGGCGTACGAACCTGTACCGGTAAACGTGCAGCGTTTCCATTCACGATTAGCATAACGCTTTAATCAACAGTCACAGATACCGATCGATGGATCGATCCATCGATCAACATGCTTTCGCGCAACAACTCGGACGACAACACGATAATAGCAAAGTGTCGCGATTCACGCTGAAGTTCGACGTCGACTCTTGCACGCGTTTGCCGAACTTGTTGCATAACGATTAACGACGATGAGAAGGCGTGATTTCTATCGATAGAAGTGATTTATCACTTGTATAACGCTCCATTTGCGAGCAATCTAGGACGTATTAAAGCGAAACAACTAGTCGGCACTTCTCCTTTATAGATTTATTCGCGGACGCGTGTAGGATAGGATCTAACGCTGCAACTGACGTATTCACGACGGAAAACTAAGTTAAACCATCCTCCTTACTAATGAACGGTATCGTGTAATTCAATCGAGTAACGACACTGCTCCGATACGCTGAATCGATCCAGCTTTTCCACGGTCAACATGCACCGCGCATTGTGCAGATTGCTGAAAAGATTTCTAGGTTGGCACCGTGTGTACATCTCGGTTATACACGTTCGATATCTCGAGAATCGCACCAAAATGGTTTCGCGTACCAAAGGCAAAATGTCTGCTGTTTGATAGTTAAATCGAATATTTAGCAATACGCCTTATCCACCCTACCCACGCGTTTTGTTTATGTCTTTAATTAAATTGATTAACTGCATTAATCGTGTTAGGTGGTAGGGACACGAATATCGTATTTTGCTCGCGATCCCGAAGATTTTCCTCTCCGATCAACGAGAATAAAGGGAATCTGTTTCGTGTCGCTTCGAAACGTGATATCTCGATATATAAAATATTTATCGCCATATAAATATCGATAATCATTTCAATATTACGTTTCAAGACAAGTAGCACGCGAGAAATTTCCTGCTCCTATTACCTGTCCTCTTTCTTCAACATCGATTAGCTTTATCCAAATTCGCCATATGCATGATCTTGAATGTCCAAGCGATTCATAGTAATTAGAGGAACTGGAGAGACACTGGAGCTAGAAAATGTAGACACGAAGAGAGCAACGAACGATTCCAATGGAACCTTATCGTCCTGGATAACGAATGGCTCATTTACGTTTGCTCAAAGGCAAAGGCATAGGTTTTCCCGCGGAAAAATAAAAATTCCCTGTTACCCGGAAAGTTGATAGTCACGTTACCGGGTATCGTACATTCGTTAACGTTACAGTTACGCGTTACGTACAATCATAACTGTACCCGAACAGTTCACAGGCTTTTTATCATTTTTAAGATCAGCAGGTACGATTGACCCGGAAACGAGAACTATGGCGCAAGAGTGCTCTCCAAATCCTTTTTCACCACGGTTTGATCAATGATAGCAGACGCGGCATGGAATAAAATTAAAAAGTCGGTCAAATATACGCGCCGAATTTAGAGTAGGAACAATGGAGTGTGACGAGCAAAACGTAATGGCGAACGCTTTATTATAATTTAAAGGACACCGTGACTGTTCCTACGTCTCCTCGTCCTTTCCCCTTTTCCTTCCTTTTTTCGCGTGAAACTGCAACAGGCAGTGATTCGAGACGAGTTACGTGCCACTTGTTACGTTCGAGCAATCGATTAGGCGTGGAACTAACGGCGATTGTTCTGCCGCGTCGAGGAAATTGAAATATTTTTTCTTAGCTCGTCCAGATTATGATGTGTCGATGAAATAACCACGATTATCGCGAGAGAACTTAACGAAGAGTTTATTGCGATTCGCGAAGCGTAGCCAGTGGCAAAACTTTAAGCAGAGTCGCGGCAATTTTAGATGCCACTTGTTACGCCTGTCAATTGCGAATAATCGTAACAGAGAATGGTAAATCGATGAGGAAGAATAAGAAGAACAATCCTGAGATTTCTGAGTATTTAAATGTATACGAAATTTCCTACACGAGGAAGTATCGTTCGAGATAATCCGAAATCTGGTACCTGAGGACGGAGAAGACAATTAGTGCAACTCGTAAGGCGCTGATATATAGTGCCAAAACTTCAATGGCACTTGCGGCAAGGTTAAATGCCACTTGTTACGCCCGTCACCTGCGAGCAATCGTAACAAAGAATGATAAATCGATGGAAGAAAATAAACAAAAGGATTCTGATTGATGATTCAGACATCTAAATCTGTGAAATTTTCCAACCAAAGAAGCATCGAAATAATTCGAAGGGTGCAATAATTTAACATACTTCGTTGATATAACTTTCGAGATTATCGATCAGCGTGAATAAATTATTTATAATCGAAGAGTTCCATGCAGTCTATTACACGGATACACGCAGTACACTGATTGCAATTTGACGTCTTTATAATGGGTTTATGATCCGATAATGACAGCCGACATTGTATCAATCATCGCGATAAATAACTAGGAAGAGAAGAAATTTGTGCGAACGTTAGCTGACTAATAACAAATAACACTCGTTTGTAATATTCCGCTGGATTCATCCGGTATTTGTCTTGGAAATTATTTGTGGTTTGAGAAATCCTACGCGGTGTTGGTAAAATGGCTAATCGGAAGGCTGTTAATATTTCCCGGAAACGATACCTGGTGTAGTGGAAGTACGCGGCGTCCTGGGCGTCCCCGGCACATCTAGGTTGCTCTCCTCGACGTTCTCTGTCCAAGAGACGGTCCTCAATGGTCCAGGCTTTTTCATCACCATCTTGTGATCGTCCTCGTTGTCGTATATACTCAGGTCCTTGATTTTCGCGCATTGACTGGAAATCCCGTTCATGACTGCCCCTCTCGACCCTGTCCGTCACTTAAACTAGCAATCGTACTCGGCCCCTTCTAAATCCGAGATGATCGAGCGATGAGGAATACGGACAGTCTAGTAAAATTGATTTAAGGTATTTGAACGAACAGCGGTAAGCGGAAAGAGACGAGATAAATGGAAAGAAATCGAATGGGTTGGTGTTAAACGTGACGAGTTTATAGGAATAACGTATTATGGAATTATTTAGCGATACCATCGCGATAGCAGCTTATTTTAACGGAGTTGTACGTACGAAAAATATCTACAGCATCTTAACCTCGAAACAGCGAGTACGTTTTGTATACGAGGTATATCGATAAACGTGTAATTCAGGTTTAACGATAATCAGTATATGTCAGATTTTTACGTAGCAGAATAAATTTTGTCAAGAAAAAATACCGTCGTTTGACAAGAAGACTTTTTTAAGAATTCCGAAACCACGTTACAAATAACGCGCGATTTCTAGTTTGCTTGCGATGCTTCTACCACGTGATTCACGAACAATACATGTGTGAGTAGCGAATCGGGTTCGAGCATCAAACTGATGAAACTTACTCGCAGTCGGATTCAATCAGTCGGTTCACGTGCACCCTCGGGAGGTTCGTCGAATACCGGTGCAACAAAGGTGGAATGTCGCTAAAAACTTCAACGTATCTTTTTTCTCTTATTTGGCTACTTTGTCTTTTGGCTTTACGAAGATTAAACAGTCATGCTCGCGAGGAAGCAACCGTGGTGAGACTAGTCCTCCAGACAAAAGGAACGAAATGAAAAGGAAAACAAAGGAACGACAGGTACTGATTCGAGAGGCGGAAGAAGAGAAATAAAATAAAAAAGAGAGTGGTCAACGAGTCCGAAAGGAAAGAAACGACCGCGAAGTCGCTCGGTCGAGTGACGCAGTGTGACTGAACCGACAGAACCGTGGAGAGTGCGAATGTCCCCTATGGTTCTTCCGTCTCTATCTCTCTCTCTCTCTATCTTTGTTCCTCTTTGATCGCACTGTGTCTGCTTCTCTTTCTCTCAACGATTTTTTTCTCTTGCTCTTTTAACTTCTGTCTCTTTTATCTAGAAACTGTGACCGTAGGTTGGCGCCGTAGTGTCACACTCAATCTCCAAAAAGCAAGTTTCCGCGACTGACGAGTAAAACCTCGCGTCACGTTCAGTATATATCGGGAGAATGCAAGTGTACGGTGAGAGTGACATGGGAGTGAGAATACCTCCCTCCAAGTGAATGCGATCCTCCCGCTACAGCGTTCGAGAGGGAAATACCCAACATTGCCCGGACCATGCACTGCGAGATGTACAGTCTCGAGTGACAAGTAGCGCCTCGATTGGCGGAAAGTGTCGAGATATCTGTAGCGTGCGAGGTCGACACGGCACTCGGTTATGCTTTTAACGTGTAAAAAATTGTGAGACTTATCGTTTCTAAATGCAATTACGATTTAAGATAATATACGTGAAAAGGTATTCCTCTTCTTTAATTATATGAAATAATAAACTTGTTTTCATAGAATAATAATGATTAATTGTTAAACGAAGATTCAAGGTGAACGAAATTAGAGGCACACGATACGCTTTTTTCCTAGCCAGGTAGCGCTTGTGTATCATAACAAATGAGCGTGATATATTGGATTCCAAGTAACCCATTGATTGCGGGAAAGATTTATCATTGTGTGACAGGAATGTACAGAAAGTCCATCTCTTATGGGTTTTTAGAACACGAGTCAGAATCTACGTCATCGTGATTTCCAAGAGACCGGTTCCCGACACTTACTTTTTCCTTCTATTCGCAGGACTTCAAACGTGTTTTTAATACACATAGACCTTTCCTAGTACACTTTTTGCGTGTACGTCAAACAAAACGATTTTGATTTTTATAAATTCCATCTTCCTTACGTAAGTACTCTAAGAAATGTAAGACGTAAATAAGGCATCGTTAATGTACTTTTATTTTCACCTATTAAAACATTCTTAAAATGCCATCAGTAATGTGACTATACACGTACCGTATCATGTATTTTCAGTTGCAACTCGATGATCTTGAAACTAGCCTTATAACATCATTCTGAAATGTCGATACATTATAAGTACTATCGTTAACGGTAATTAATAGCGACAATGATAAAAGCGATGATGGTGGCATGCAACTGGCCATTCTCTGTTTCAGTAATTAAGTTTGAACGTCGATGAGGTTATCGTGATATTCTGGCAAGGCTATTAGACTACAAGGAGACTCAAAGGTGGAATGAGTGAAGTTACCGTACGTCTATCGTATCTACTTCGTGATAATGTATTACAATCCTTTGCTTTACTTTTCAAATTACTACTCATTCGATGTATATTTTCATTTAGATATTTTAATTCACCAGACTATCCAGTTTTTATTCGAAAAATAATGAAATATGAAATTAATATATGAAAATAGATAAGAATAAAAAAAAATAAATGCTTGCTAAACTAATTGATTGAGATTACGTGGAATTGTATTATTCAAGCATATAATAATATATTTTAAACATGATTTTATGTTTGGAATACCGAATAGAATGATAAACCTTTATTTTATTTATGCGATCTGCCGGAAAGAATAATTTTCTTCATTGGATCGTGTTACTTCCTGCATTACGGTAGCATATCTATCAAGTTAAGTATAAAAGAGCGCAAAGCTACGTTTCTCGTCTGTATTCATAGTTGCACTACTGAAACTCGTCTGAGTTCAACTGACCTTTACTACTTGCAATCAATATAAAGTTGCTGTTGTTACATTACCAGATATTCGACATTTGACAATTCCGCTGGACACATTTAACGAAACAATGAAATTTTGTTTTTAATAAGGATTAACTTGAAATCCACAAAGAAGAAATACTTACTGATCTATTATACGGATTTTATTAACATTAGTTTAACGATTTAACAAGCGTGACGTTTTTTGCGTTAGTCTAGTAGCTGCGTAGAAAAGGAAGAAAAAATGAAGGAAAAGCGACAAGTAGAAAACCAAAGTGTATCGGCAGGGAATTCGAGGTCATTCTCAAGTAACGACGGGTACGAATCAATGCCAGAGGAGTGTATGATGATATGTAGGTGTGCGAAGAATGGATCTACCCCGAATCATTTGAAACGTGTGGCTATAAAAACGAGAACCTTCTAGGAAAAATGTTTTCCGCATGCTGCAATTTGCTTCCGTATATACTAATAATGATAACTGCAACGTTTTCCTTTTGATAATTCTGAATTTAAAGGATTGTTTTATACAACTTTTAAATATAAAAACCAATAATTTTAACTAATTACAAACAAATACATTGTGAATAATAATAAATGATTAAGATTTGTATTTTATGGTATCGTAATATCTCTACGCTAATACCACTTTACACTAATACAGATACTTGATATTACTACTCTTACTCGACGTTTTACTCTACACAGACACTTGATACCATTTCCTAATATCGTTTCGTTGTTATTTAATATGATTGGCATATATAAACGATATCGAGCCGTATACTGAAAAAAAATGCAATGGATATGAGGAGGTATAATTCTTTATAGACGCTACATACACGTTCTAGTCTAATAATTGAAGTTGTTGATAAAATTACAATGTCATTAGGAATACTACTTAACATATTTGATCTCTATTAATTTATAGAATACTTCTGATAAAATTCAAATTGTATTTTATCCTATTTTTTTATTAAAATATCTAATAAAAAACAAAGCTCCATTTAGGAAAATTAATAGCCTTAAAATATTAATATACTACGCAATTTTATGTAGGATTAAAATGTTTAGTGAATCGATGAAAATACAACAATGAGTGTATTAAAAACAAACTTACTAGTTTTTATTGGACAATTCATTTAATCTCTCGGATTGTCATCAATATATTTCAATATATATTGTTTTAACTAATATGCTGAGAAGCGCGACAAATTAAGACTGAATGTATATGATCCATTAACAATACTGTTTCGAACAATAGATTCATATATTTACTAAGAAGGAAAAATCTTTGTAATACTGACCACCTTCTATCTCCTATTAATTTCAACGAAAGACACTTACAATTCCATCTTTTAACTCACAACAGTCGTAGTCGTAATAAAGAAATTTTTAAGAAAATATAAAACTGGGAATAAAAATTAATCTTTTTAAATTTTGAACAAAATGAACAGTAAATGTGTAATCAATCAATGAAATGATGGATAACATTATTAGAATTATAAAAATCATTTAAAACGTATTGTCAACAAAATGTAATAAATTCCCATCATTTATAAAAATGGAGTATTTTGTAGAATATTTTTATATAATCTGGATTCTGCGGAAAATCAGAATAAAAACTAGAATCTTGTGTAACGTTATAAATGATTAAGTATTTAATGGTTAAGTTATATAAATCAATAATTTTGAAATATTATCTTCATTTAAAGACAAAGTGTTTGACACGATACGTTTATCGTGAACAATTATTAGTTGTTTAAGCAAAAATTATCTTTATTCCATAATATAATAGTCTAATTTAAACACAAATATAAATTTGTTCATAATAAACAGCAGTTTTATTGAAAATATAATACAAGCAATTATTAATTATATCAAAATATATATAATTATATATAATCGTAAAAAATATAAGAAAGCATTAACATTAACTCCTTTACCTGTTATAAATATAAAAATTATGTGCGTTAATCAAGCACGTATATTTTCGGTAATTATAATCATACTTCCTTGAAAAGAATAAAAGGATTATCTATTTTGTATTATTTTGTCAACTGAAAAATAAACATTTTATATCAATACTGTTATCATATATTAAATTCTGATAAATATGAATAAATTAATTTTAAGAATCAAGTATGGAAGAAATATGTCATTATCACAGATAAGTATATTCTGCGATTTGTTTTTAATATATGTTATTTGCGTATTAAAGATATATTTGGAATAATTTTTGTAAATTCAAACTTATTATTTCTGTCATTTAATTTTCAAAGTGACTTAACTATTTCATCATTTGTAAGCTGGTTTAAATGCGTTTATACGACTTGTACAATAAACGTGTTTATGCATTTATAGTGTAGGATATTAAACAGAAGTAAGAAATCTGAATTGTATATCATTCTTATTTAACTCTTCGATCAATGATGTTTTACCAAATGCAGCACCAGGAGATAAAACACCACCACTAAAATCAAACAATAAAACGCTTATGAAGTTATCCAAAAAGGAACATATTGCATATTTAAATAAGATATAAACGTACGTTCCAGGTATTTTATCAGATTCTTTAAGAATTGTTATAGCAGAAAGCAGTAACATAATACATGTAGCACCATATCCAGGATTTTTGCCAGTGACTTCTGTAATTAATACTTTGTTTGGTGGATTTTTGTGTTTATCAGCAGGATCAGCCAATTTTTCATACCACCCTTTTGCTTGAAATGTAATAGAGAAACGTACTTTATCTAATACTTCTTCTTTAGGGCTCTCATGAGACACAAATTTACCAGAGAAGAATGTAGGATACTAAACAAAAACCAAAATTATTTTTTGTTTAAAAAATTATAATGATAGATATGAGATACTTTATGATAAAAAATATAATATACCTTTCGTAACAAATTACGGCCAAATTCGAACTTTGATAAAATTACAAATATTAAACCCAAAATAATCGTTGACAACACCATGAACAATGACCTATTATTTTTAAAAATTGGTAATTATTCATTATAACTTCTGTAATTTTTATTTTTAACTTTATATAGATTATTTGAATATAAAACTTACTTGAATGTGACATAAGTTTGAACTTGAATCGGTCGTTGTTTATATTTTTCATATAAAAATCGTTGTGTACGCAGAGCTACAGAACGATCAGATCCTGGAAATATTACAGACCATCCTTCTGATACAGGACATTTATGAATGAAACGTCTAAAATGGTTATTAATATTAAAAAATATCAATAATAGAAATATACGCAAGTATAATTGTGCGTAACTATATTATATTATTAGCTGATTACTAACTTTGTTTTAAGCTTTGGCCATAATTGCGGTAATTTTTCGGGATAGAGTTTAGAACGCAATTCGCGTAATTCGTGAAAATTTGCTATACTATAAACAGCAGATTCATATGTTCCATAATGTACAAGTGCATCATTAACTTTTGTGGTTGTCCACACACTTAAATAAGTTTCAATGGAATTTATTTCACCCTTAAATTGTTGCTGTGCAAATATTATACCAAGATCACATGGTATACTATCAAATCCACATGCACTTACAATGTAGATACCCGCTTCTTCTGCTTCTTTATTATATTTCAAACAAATACTTTCTATATACTACAATACAGCAGCCAAAAAACAAACAACATAAAGATATATAATATGAGAGGCAAAATTAATGTGAAATTATCAATTTTACTAAGTATGAAACAGTTAATAAATTACCTGTGGCTCACCGCTGACATCAACTTGATGTGTATGTGTAGCAATACATGCTTTAATAACTGGTTCTCCATAAAATCTATATGGACCACTACAATTAACAAGTACTTTAGCTTGGGCTGTCATATTTTTTAATGACTCTTGATCTTTTAAATCAGCAATCAATATGGGTACATCTTCTAAAAAGTTAATTATATTACTTAAATACAATTATTATTATTAAAAATTTAATTATCTAAAATTTCATTTTACCAATATCAGAAGCAAATTCTTTAACAACTGCTTCTAAAGCTTGTTTCCTGCGCCCTGATACTCCAAATTTCATTTTTTTCTCTTTAGCTAATTGTGCTGCTACTTTTACAGCATATTTTCCAGTAAATCCAGTTGCTCCAAATATCACAAAATCCAATCGCTGTTCCACCATAATGATAGTTTGATTGTGTCTAAAACAAAATAAAAGATACACGGTGAACAACCTACTTTCATCTGTTATAAATAAAATTCAAAAATTTATAGCACTAAAGTACTCTATCTAAACTTTTGAAAACTTATAAAAGTATCTAATTATGATATATCAAAATTCATATGCTTTGTAATAGGTATATAAATTCATTATAATGTACTTGAATGTAATATACTTTTTTACATGGACTGAATCAGCAAACTATACATACATATTACAAATTCTTTATTGTCTTATTACTTCATTCATTTTCATTACATTTTCAATTGAACAAATAATTTTATGATTCATTGTATATAAGATTTAAGAAATAATACTAATTCTAAAAAATATTGTTTTTAAATGCACGTAGGAAAATGTTATTCAAAAAAACATCATTAAGAATACTACGTATCTTGAATATCATTATGGCTTAAACGTCATGATACAGCTAGTTTGACTGAATTACAATTTCCAAAGAATTTTTATATTTTTATGCAGTTAACGAAACAATTTCTGAGTTTTGTTAATAAACTACATACCTAGTAAAAGCAACGAATAAAATTACAACCTTTCTTCGTGCTAAATTTTGCGAAATTAACTTCTTCGTTGTGACTTTCTTACTCGTGTTTTGATAGAATCAAATTGGATGTACAGACTGAAACCGGCAAAGAGGGGATTTTATTACGTAATATGTCAAATTGTTCATTTTATAAAAAAAGTATAAATTTTTTAGTATAAAAATTATTTTAAAAATTTATAAATATAATTTCATTAAAAACATACTTACTTTAATCCGTTTACATTTGATAATGTGTTATATATTTAGTTTGTATGGGAGTCACGCTCTCAATATCTATTGGGCATGCGCGAGAATGTTATGTATAAGCAAGTAGTCGTATTAGCCAAAGATCGATGTGTAATTTTCTAAATATATAGAAAAGAAAAATTTGTTTCAAATGTTCATTTTTATAAAGTATTTGAAAATCGCCGAAATTAACGAACGAGGAATACGTTAATAAGTTGACCCAAAATATTATTATTAGTATCCTTATATTGTAAATAAAATGGATAATAAAACATTAACAAACAACCGTTGTTATATTTCCATTATTTAAATACATATTTAAAAGGATTTAATTTATACTAATAAATTTGTTAAAAAGTAATTTTAGCAAATAGATGAATTAATTTCAAGAATTCGTACTAGCATGATATTTACGGCGTACATATGTCACAAAAAACTTCCATTTATATTTTCAAAAGTAATAAAATGTGTTACTATAATTCCTATTACAATTATACAGTATTAACCCTTTGCGATCGTAAAGCGGACTATGCTTTCATAGAATACTTTTATCGTTCTACCAGTCGTGAATCGCATTAAGCGATTATCATAATAATGCAGTGTCAGAAAAAAAGAAAAAAAGCACGCAAATAAAAATAACATCTGTTTATTATAAGAGAGAAATTAACAAATAAAAAATTTTGCTTTCAAAAGGATTCTCTCTAAGGTTTAGTCTCTTTGTCATTGTGAAGCAACTAACGACGATGTTCTTATAGTAACAACAACTTAATGTACTTATATTAGTAATTATTTAGTTAGTTTCTATGTGTTAGTTTTTATGTATTATTTTTTTATTTTGTTAAAAAATTTATCAACTGTTCATCTTAAAATCAGAATGAAAAAAGCAAAATTGAAGATATAAAATCTTTGGATTAGACATCGATAAAGATAGAAACATTTCTAAAAATGAGATATACCTATAGAAATGCATATAATACGATCAAGAAAGTCAAAACCAGGAGTTGATAACAATTTAGATTTGCAACAGATCCGCAGCAATGATAGCAGCGATTTTGGTAATATACTTCCCATAGAGAGAAAAGTGTTTCGATTGAAGACGTCAAGTAACAGCAAATTGGAAGGAACTACAGGTGTAGACGAGTGGTCTGTCTGACGTGATGTCATGAATGAAGATGTAATATTTCCGAAAATATATTTTTCAGTAGGATCACAAAAAATTGGACCCCGAATTTCTGCAGTTTGCACAGAATCGACTGATTTTTTTCAATCTATAAAATATAACATTTTAATTACATAAATATAGAAACTTTTTTCATTATAAGCAGATAAAAGTTTCACTATAATAAATATATCTTACAAGTTTCACGGGATAACTTTGTCTACATGTAAACGCCGCGTCGTCCATTGCAAATTAATTCTGACTTGTACGGAATTCATGTTTTAGAGCGCTATGACCGCAAAGGGTTAAATTATTCTACTACATCATTTATTTTTCTTAGTTTATATTTACAACATATCTTTTGTTTTATTACTCGCAGTCTGTATTCGGCTAGTAATAAATTATAAATAGCTCACTGTTTAGAATATCACCTTGCAATTAAAAACCTAAACTAGCAGATTTCTATTGTGGTGTAATTTCAATGTATTTTGTTTTATATATATGTAAGACACGAAGTATTAACGTGTGTACAATTCCGCTTTGACCTGGCCAAATACCATCAGATACCATGTATATACTATTATTTACAGAAATGCACGCTAAAATTGTAAATCTTTACTATTAATAAATTCATTTTATATGAATAAAATAATCTACAAAATAATTTTTCTTCAGTTTATATCCTAATAAAGGCATATTGTTTATGTAAATAATTTTAAACGATAAAAAAAATAAATTACACTATTAAGAAAAATTCATAGCGTTCACGTTTTAGGTTCAAGAAAATTAATGCATAAATACAAAAAGTTTATGACTTTCATTTCTTTATGAATATAAAATTCGCAAATGTTACGGAAATAGAGCGCAATTAATATTGCTTGTAGCATCCTGGCGGATAAATAACGAAATATGAAGTTTTCGCAAAAACTTGTGTACCTTACAAATTCTTAGCACAATTTAAGATTTAATTGAGAAATATTTTAATACTCTTTTGGAGATATCGATCGTTGAATAATTAAAAACTCATATCATTCTTTTTAGTTACAATGTTATAGTTATATTCAATTATTTTTAACTGAAGTAAAACTGAAGGAGCTAGTCTTTTGTTTATTTTTTCTACGTAAAAGCAGAAATATTATCTCATTATTTCCGGATTTAAATATACATCGAATATAACTATCGCCTTATACTAATATTTACAGTATTTCACATTGTTTTTGATAGGATACAAAACTATGGTACTTTAAAAGAATGAACGCAAAAATAGAATTCTTATCTACCTTTTCAATTGCGAAAGTATAAATTCTATAAAAGAGGAGAAAGTTAATATTTGTTTTTCTCTTTTAAGAATGTAATCATCTGTTGGCAAATATAATATTTGTCGTTTTGTTCCTAATTTTACAATAAATACATGCGTATTAAGACAGTGCAACTCATGCACACTGCATATCACCACAAAAAGATATTACTCTACATATTTCTTTTGATGTAAAATTTTTTTGGGTTTTCAGTTAATAGAAAATTTATATAATGTCGACTAATTTGTACAATTTTACAAACATCATTGTATGAAATAAAACATCAGTACTTTAATGCCTATTGCAGTGCAATGAAATATCGATTAATGTAAGGTTAATAATTAAACTATAAATCAATCAAGAAATTTTGAAGACTTATGTTGAAACGTATTATAGTCTGAAATAGTGAATAACTGTATACAAGCTAAACATCCATTGAACATACATGATCAGTATCGAAAATGCAAAATATGTTACATGCGATTTAGGAAGGCATACATTTTGAATTATGAATTTTAACACTGTACGTAATAATATACACTACAAACACATTAATTTGATTTTAGTTCGTTATCAAATCTTACCATAATTGCACTGTAATAAAACGGATTCAAATACGTAAACATAATTTCTTACATATGAGAAACATTAGTGAATAGAAACTTAAAAATTCGGCATCACTGTTGTTCAAGAAATCTGATATATATAAAAAAAAGGTATTAATTATACGCTAAGAATATGTGTCAATTCATTATCTTTGCACAACCTCTCCTTAAAAGTCTTAAAAAGACCACTCAATCATGGTAGAATTCTTTGCATATTAAGTAAGCATTGGAATAAATTTTATACATAGATACAAGTCACGAGTGGTACTAAATCACAGATTAAACTGTGTAAAGTATTTCATATATAGCCATGTGTAAGGGAGCATCGTGTACAATGCCCAGTCAGGTAAAACAACACAAGGCTCCATCGGAATTACAGCCGCTCAACAACACATTCAAGAACGGTAACAAGGAAGGAGCACTAGGAGTTAGCATTTGGCGGAGGTGGTCTTCTATCATAATCTCGTCTATAATCTTTGTTTGGTCGCCAATCGCTAGGATAACTATCTCCAGGATAACCACGACCTCTAAAGTGGCTCGGAGGAATATCAGATGGAGGATAACCACCGCCGCCTCCACCTCCATATCCTCCTGGACCATATCCGTAACTGGGTGGTCCCGACGGATACCTGTAATAATCACTGAACACGAATTTTATGAAATTTATTTTCATAAGAAATTCTAATATTTGTAACTTACCTTCGCTTATCATTCATATGCATGTTGCGATCGCGATCTCGATCTCTATCACGATGATATCCACTAGACATTCGTCCATAAGAGTCAAAACGATCACGTTTATGGTCCCCAAATCTATACGTTCACAATTTAAATTAAATATTACATTATATAAAAATTAATACAATACTTTTTCTACTATTCTAATTATACCTTCCATCTCGCATATCTCTTCCATCACGGGGTAACCAATGATCATCTTCTCTGCTTCCACTATAGTGTCCGCTTATACTATATCCACCACTATCTCTCCTAATTCTCTCATCTTTGCTTCCACTCATTCTGTCCATACTTCTATCACTATGAGTTCTATCTCTATCTCTATCACGTTCTCTATCTCTTTTCATGTCCTTATGTTTTGACTCTTTTTCTTTGTGTCGCGGTGTGTCCACACTATTGGTGGTACTTGAAGTAGAATTTGGAGTTGATGTAATAGGAGTAATAGTGATAGCACCAATAGTAACCGTAGATGTATTGCTGATACTGTTCACAGCAGATATAGCCGAGAGATGTTTCTTACTCGGTGTACTGCTACTATTTGAATTTTCTTCCATATCCTCAACTCTACGTTTTTGTAATCTACTATCTTTAATACTTTCTACTTGTTTATCGATATGTTTTTCGGTGTACTTCTATAAAATTAATTAGATTAATATCTTCTATGTTGTAATCATCAAAATATGAATAAATCATCATACCTTCACATTACTTGATTCTTCTTTTTTTTCTGGGCTAGATGTAGCACTTGTATTACTTTCACATCCCTTTTTCGTCGCATGTTTATACAATTTATAAAGTTTCTTTGCATCGAATTCTGTAAATTTAGATACAAAATACCATAAATTACTTCTCCACTCTTTAATTTGTTCAGGATCTCTGTATTCTTCTAAACAAGTATTAATTTGGTTTCCAATTTGTACAAGACACTGTCTCGTGTGAGCGACTTGTTCTGTTTCGCTTAAAGATTGATCAGGCCTATCCAAAGCCTTAAGTGCCTTCTTTACTGGTCTCATCTTTTCTTTACACTGTATAGTAAAAGATACAGATTTCAGACTACTAATTATATTTAATGCATATAAGTGATACTAAAATAATTAATAGCAACCTCGTTAAATATAGAAGGATCTAAATCTCCAAGAACATCAAGCGCTCTTGGTTCATTGTTAGCAGTAAAATGCATCGGACCCGCTGCTTGTTTTGTTTTTTTAGCCTTCTTATTTTCTTTTTTCTCCTTTTTAGTTTTCTTTTCTTTCTTTTTTTCTTCTACTATATCTTCAACTTCTTCCTTTGTTTCTTTCTTTACAACAATTTCATCTTCTTTCTTTGTAGGTAGCTTTAATTAGAAGAAAAATTATAATATTTACATGTAAAATATTTTTTAAACTTAATCTCAAATAAATATTCGAAATTTACCTTTTCAACTTTGAGTTTAGATTTATTACTCTCTTCTCCTGAACTATCATTTTCTTCTATAATTTCTTTTGTAATTGCAGTTTTTACTTCTTTCGGTTTTCTTGGTTTTCTAGCTTTAGTCTAAAATTATTATTTAAATATGTTTTAATATAAAAATGATATTTATATATAATATAAAATGTGCAATTAATATGCGAGAATATAAAATATATAAAAACGAAAATTCTCAGGGATGCAAAAATTACCTTATATTGATTTTCGGATTGTGGGATAAGGACATAACCCTGTTAGAATAGAAGAAGGGGATAAAGAAAGGGATATTTTCATGGAATACTATAGAAATAAATCATATCTTCTTACCACTCCTAGTTTAGAATCAATTTGTTTCTTGAGTACTTTCAACAAATATTCGGCTCGAGCATTTATTTTTTTTAATTGGAGTTTACTACCATTTGGAAGAAGCTTATCGCCAAGCTTTAAATTATTATCCATTTTTATGGCTTCCCATGAACCCATGCCATGTTGATATATACCTCTTAAAAGTCTAGAATCATCTTCAGAGTTCCAATCGCAATCGAAATTTGCCGGTTTTAGTCTACAATGATCGTAATAAAGTAAATATATATGCATATAAATATATTTCTGATTATAAAAAATTTAATGAAAATTGTACTCACTTAAGATCAATGTGCCAATTAGATCGTTGTTCCGAATCCGAGGGCAAAGCTTGTTCTAAAGGTTCTAGTTCTTTCACAGCAGCTGAGAAAGATTTTGCGTTAACCATAACCCCACCAATTTTAAATGTAGGACCCCTGCCTCTCTTACGACCAGGACCTTTACCCTCCTCCTCACCCTTATTTTCTTTCGCGGTACTTTCAAATTCAGATATACATGCGTCACATCTAGCTCTTAATTGATCTCCCAAGAAACGTAATTCTGACATTGGCTTTTCTTGTAATTCTGCATCTGCCGCAATGTCATCTAATCGTTTCAATGGTGCAGGAAATTTTTTATAACTTTTAACAAATCTTCTTATCTATATAATAAAAATATTCAGATTTATTTTAACCCATGTAAAATATTGGTACAACTTATAAAAGGACTACATACCTCTGCATCAGTGAAACTTTTTATGTTTTCCCGAGGAGTAACTCTTGGTCTACCTCTTTTTTTAGGACGTTCATCATCACTACCTTCAGCCTCACTTCCAGTCTCTTCACCTTCTTCACTATCATCAGCAGATAGCTTTTTTCGTTTTCTTCCTCTGCCTGAATAATGAAACAAACACTATAGTGATGCAATACATAGTATAATATAATATAAATTTTATTTTTAATACACTGTACCTTCACCACTTTGATTAATTTGCTGTAATGTTTTTCGACTTCTCGGAGGTAAGTACAAATCTTCCATTTCTTTTGATTTTTCTTCTTCTTCAACTTTCTTCCTAAAATTTTCTGGAATAATTTCGGCCTAGAATCAATTCGAATAAAAATGCTTATTGTCTATCTTGTTGCATACGGAAATATTACAAGATATTTGATACAAAAAACGACATTTACCCAATCTTTACTTTCATCATCATTATCATTAGGTTGATTAACTGGTTCAGATTCTTCTTCAAATGCAGCAAAACTAGCGACTTTGAATGCAGACAATAATTCATCCCCTACCGTTGAAGGTCCTTCGTCTCTCGTTTCCGCTCTTCTCAGAATTTCATCAATATCGCACTATTTACATGAAAATAAAAAAACTTATTTCTTTTTTTTATTTTTATATAGACTTAATTCAGAATAGTTTAAATCTTTTAGAACAATTACAGTTGGTTCTTCATCTCCATCTTCTTCATCTTTAAATAAATCTTCAGCTCCAAATTTTAAAATAGCATTTAAATCTTCTTTGTTAAATGGATTGTTATTGGTCCCTGCATTCTTTTTATCTAATACTGTTCGACCAGTTGTATCCATCCGTTGAATTACAAGATGATCTAGAACCATTTTTTGCTTTGCTCTTTCAACTATCTCCTCTTCTACAGAATTTTTTGTTACTAATCGATATATGTTCACCTATATAAAACAAAATATTTTATAAAATGTTTAATATTTAAATCGATAAATATAATATTGATATAAAATATTGAAAAACCTGATTTTTCTGTCCAATACGATGTGCTCTAGCTTGTGCTTGTAAATCATTTTGGGGATTCCAATCTGAATCAAAAATAATAACAGTATCAGCAGTGGCAAGGTTAATACCAAGACCACCTGCTCTTGTCGATAATAAAAAGCAAAAGTCTTGTGATCCATCTGCATTAAAATGATCTAATGCTTGTTTTCGTAATTCTCCCTTTATACTTCCATCTAATCTTTGAAATGGAAAATGTTTCTTTTGTAGATACTCCCCAAGAATATCTAACATTCTGACCATTTGACTAAATATTAATACCCTATGACCTGTTTCACGTAATCTCACCAATAATTTATCAAGAAGAACTAATTTGCCAGAACCTCGAATTAATTGTTGTAAATAATCTTCATTACTATCCCTTCTTTCACTTTCAGTAGGTTTCGTAAGAAAAGCATGGTTACAGCATTTCTTTAATTCAATAACAATATTCAGGAACGTCATAGTAGAACCTTTAACACCTTTTCGTAAAGCGTTATAATTTTTGGTTAATATCCATTTGTAATATTGTTTTTGCAAGGATGTCATCTCAACTCGTAAGATTTGTTCTACTTTAGCGGGTAAAGACTTTTCTACGTCTTTCTTAACACGTCGCAAAATAAATGGTTCTAGCTGTTTATGTAACTTGGAATATCCTTTTTGAGCCGCATTATCATGTTCTTTCTCGAATTCTTCCCATGAATTAAATCTATATATATACATATAAAAAAATGTGTATTTTATATAATTTTACTATGAAGAAATAATGTAAAATTATTAGAACACAGCGATATCAAATTTTAAAGATTATACAAACATTACAAAGTCATTGAATTTTATGAAAAGTATATAGTGGTAATAATATTTACATAAAAATTAACTAACTTAGCAGGCATTATGAAGTGTAGTAAGGCCCATAATTCTTTTAAGCTGTTTTGTAATGGAGTACCAGTTATTAAAAGGCGGTGATTCGTATGAAATTCAGCGAGTGCTTTATACAGGAGTGAATCATCGTTTTTTAATCGATGTGCTTCGTCTACTAACAACACGGCCCAATTTAAGGCACCCAAAAATGCTTTATCTTTAAGTACTATTTCGTACGTCGTAAGTATGGCATTAAATTTTAATCTCTTTGAACTGTAACACCATTCGTACTCTCTAATCTAAAATTTATTTATTCAACAATAAATACGATATATTTGATATGCAAATATCTTAGGTACTTTAAAAGAAATTCGAATTTATAAGAATAAATAGTACACACAACATTGCGGGAAGTAACATCACCCAAATATGTAACGAAATTTATATCTGGTGCCCATTGTGACATTTCTCTTTGCCAGGAAGTCATTGTTGAAAGAGGAACTACTAATAAAAATGGCCCATAAAGTTGATGCGTATGGAATAAATAATAAAGGAAGCATATTGTTTGTATAGTTTTACCAAGACCCATTTCATCTGCTAAAATAACACTGTAAACAAAAGAATTAATCATAATATAAAACATATTAGTTAGATAACATATTGCATAAGTTTAATTATGTAATTAAGGGAACGTGCTATACCTATTTTCTTTGCACCACGAATGGATCATCCAATTCAATCCATCCATTTGGTAATCTCTAAGAGTTAAATCTCGACCTTTACCCATATATTCTGGTTGTCCTTTTAATTGGTGAAATTTAGGTCTTGATTTAAGAACCTTACAGTGTTTACTTGGTGTTCTTTTTGATTCTTCTCTTTCACGAAATTCTTTTATTTTTTCTGGCCATTTTTTGACAATAAGTGCTCCATCTTCCCATGTAGCATCAGCATAGGGTAAACTTTCCCATTTACAATAATAATCCGGATGTTCGGAATCAGGTTTATTATATTCAGCAATAATTCTTTCGACATTATTATAACTTTTTAGAAGGTCTTGTTGAAGTTCTAATTGACATTCAAAATAATCTATATCTTCAGGTCCAGCATAATCTCTCCATTGTTGAATTTCCCGTTCTCGTTTAATAAAATTATCTAATTTCTTCAATCCTTTTACTTTTTGTGCTTTTAAAGATTCTTCTGATTCCCATGTATTATGTATGTGAGACCATCCTTTCCATTTTATTAAATACTGTAATTCAGTTTCATCATTAGACAAATTGTCCGGATTTGGGTCTCCATTTTCTTCTACAGCATAAATTGTTGTAACATTTCCTGTAACTAAAAGAGGGTATAATATAGCAAAATATTTGACAAAATGGATACAATCATTTTATTTACAATTAACTCATAAAACGAACCTCCTTTTTTACCAGATCTTTGTCCCAAAATTCGTTCAATTGTTTCTGCATTATCCGGTTCTGCATTTGCAGTACTACCTTCATCAACTTCTACAAGATCTTCACTATCAGTTCTTTCTTCACTTTCTTCTTTATAACTAATTGCAGTTCCGGTTCTTCTTGTAACTTGTCTAGTGTTTTAATTCATATTAATTTATTAAAACCTATGTCATAGTTAACCTGTTTTCTTCATGATAAATAAAACTAAATACCTTCTATTATCATCACTGTCAAATGAAGAATTGTCAGATGATTCTGAAATATGTTTCTTTCGTACCCTTGCTTTCTCTTTTGCTTTCTGTGCGGCGCGTCTATTTAACGATTTACTAGGTGGAGGTCTTCTACTTTCATCATCATCAGATTCAGAATCTGAACTTTCCGAGTTCCATGAATTATGTGAACTGTAAAAAAAAAGAAGGCCAAAAAATGCAAATGCATGTACTTTTATAAATATAATAAATGTTATAATAATAATAAAATAAAATATATTAAAGATATATAAGAACTATTATTTTATACTTTTATTTTGTCATATGATCAGGTTTGCTATTTTAATAAGATATTTACATTATACGTACTAAATTCTTATTTCTATTTATTAATGACAAATATGGATCAAATAATATAATTTATATAACTCACATGCTTAATATAAATTTCTATTTAGTAAAATATTAATTAATGATTATTTAATGACTAATGTATAACTTCCAAAAACAGAATTTATTAAACACAATAATGCAATGTAGAAAATAATGACTTTTTTAATATAACAATTTTTACTTACTTTTACTAATTTGAAACAGAGATTTCTGAAGTATTTTATTCTATTATATATTGAAAACATTTTTTACATGCAGGTAATTAAACACAAATTCAAATAAAAAATTTTATAACATGTTTTTCCCCCATTAAATGTCTTAATCAAATACATAAAGACATGATTAGGTATATAGCACAAACTGAAGATGTAAGAAATATTAAATTATATGATATAATACAATATTTTATATAACAAAACAAAATTAAAAACAAGGTAGAAAACACACAACAATGCTACAGTGTAAAAACTTGTTTGAAGCATTAAGCTTAATAAACACAAATATAAACATCAAAAATAAAAAATATAAAAGCACATTGATACACAATATATGCAATCTAGAATAATACAGATATAAACTAACACGAAAGCTTTATAGAATTATTATTGCTGCCAAAATTGCAAAATACAGTCCTACTAAATAATAACTACTTATAAATTATATATAATCTAAACTACTAAAATTTTACCAATATTGAAAATACTTAAAGCTAATTTTATATATTATAAGAATTAAGATATAATTTTATTTTTTCTGTCATTACTATTATTTTCTTTTTTAAATACCATTCTACACAGTCATCATTACTCTTAAAATATGCTTTAATGTTATAAATATAGGAAAGAGTTTCATTTTTTATTTTGCTCAAGTAGATATATTATAAACCTACAAATTACTATTTTTTAAAAATGCAGATCCTGAATTATAATCATATAAACAGTACAAAATGCATTTATTTGTTATGTGTAATATCTATTCAATCCATAAGAAATAATTAAAAAGAGTACAGAATTTATAATTTCAATTTTTGATAATTACATGAGTTTCTTCATATTACTTACCCCTTTTTTTTAAATTTCTTGCGACTATCGCTATCGCTTTCACGTTGTGTAGCAAGCCTTTCAGGCTCTTTCCTAGAACGGCCAGATCTCCTGATTCCATAAATGTCAGGATTTTCATCCCACTCGCGACTAGACTCATTCTTAAGCCTAACTTTTGTTTCTGTGCTGTGATTTGAACTTTTGCTCTGGAAGCTATCACTTTGTGCAGGTGCATCCGACTTCTCTGATTTATCAGAATCAGAACCTGATCCAGACCCGGAACCACTTGAGGAGCTAGAGTCACTGCATTTGCAGTCAGGCAATGTTTCATTTCACTATCAATGTTTATATAGTTTACAGCATTGTAATTTAAAACATATTTAATAAAATATACAAACATCAAATACTCTTAATATAAATTAATGACTGCTAACTTAAAATGAGAATTGTAATGCTAAATTTTGATAATTATTGAAGCATATCTTTTATATAACATTAGATATGTATAAATATTCTATAACTTTATTATGTTGTTTGTATTATACAATGGTCTGGAGTAAAAAATGTACACAAATAATTACAAAAACATCATATATTTAATGATGTCAATGTTGATTTATCCATAAATATTAAATAATTGCAATATGCATCAGCTACAAATTTTTATCTTTAAATAATTTAAAATATCTTAGCATTAAGTTGTAATTTAGGTACTTCTATTTTTCAGCACTTGCATTTGAAAACATTTATGAAAATATTCTTTTTTTCCTCTTTTCTTTTTTTAATTTTTCAGTACAATCTACATTATCATACACTATGCATAATTTATTAGGACAAATTATTATAAGAAGTAAAACAAGTAGAAGCAGTAGGATACTAGCTCACCTAGTGCTTAATTGTTTTAATATATAAGAAAACAAGTACTATTGCATGAATAACAGAAACTTGAAGACTGTGCTTATATAAAATTCAAGGGATACATTAAATTAGCATGATTATCAAAGCAATGTTAATGCTATATAAAGCTATAGCAATACACAAAGTTAAATGATTAATCTTAAATAATCCCTTATGTGTCAGAAAGTCAAATACACTGTATAACAGAATGTTATCACATAAATATGAAATCATTAATGATCAGGCATTAATTACCATTAATAGATCTATTATGCTGATAAAAATTGTATGATACCATGTTAAACAAGTAAAATAATAACATATTTTGTCTTGGACTTTCTGAAAGAAAGGGATTAGGTAACAATAATCTCACTACCCACCTTTCTGATCCAGAGCCAGATCCAGTATTGCTTCCTGAAGAAGAGCTATCACTCTTACTTTCATTTTCAGAATCAGATCCAGATTCTTTACCAGACTCAGAGTCTAATGTTTTCTGTAATTTAATCAGATCAAGCTAGCATTGTTCTATTTTGAAAAATATGTATATAAGTCGCAATGTGTTGTTTGGAATAGTTTCTATTCACTAATGACAATATGAATATATTTCTTTTATTATATTATTTTTATTTGTTAGCATAGTAATCTTTAAGATTTATTTTAGCATATTTTTAAAATAGTAATAAAATGTATTAAATATTATTTTGTATGTTTTTAATACTCAGTATGTAACTTATATATAAATTAGCAGTGCCATCTATCAAGATTTCTCCTCCATTTTATAATTCTTGACCACCATTTTGTAGTTAAGAAATGCTTAATTTCCAGGCTCTTTAATGCACCCTCTATGTACACTTCAATAAAATATTAAGAATTTATTGTTGTTGTATAGTATTTGAGAAATAAATATAATTACATATTATGTATGAAATAGAAAGATAGTTACTTACAATGCACACAAAATATATTTACATACATTACAGATGCATTTATCCTAGTAAAATGATGGATTGCTTCTTTACCTAAAAATTGATTTAAGAATTGTGCGAGATACTTATTCTTTCAACATTTGCAGTATATTGTATGTAACTATCTCAAATCATAAATTAGCAGAAAAGATCTGCAGGATTTCCTGTAAATAATTAATCTAAGATACACAGAATAATTTCCTGCAAATAACCAGTGTAAGGTATAATGGGTATTTCAGAATAATATAATTCACCATTTAAGTACTATATATATTTATTAAACATTTCAGCAGGTACATTACGTGCTACACATGACTGAAGTTAAAAATTTACATCTGTTTTTTGAATAGTGTATGAATTAGAAAAATCTATACTCACAATAATTTTATAGCAATTATTATCAATTTTAATTTCAGGGTAGTACTTTTAACCTGCACTTAAATTAAAATATTTTTAGCAATAAAGTATAGATAAAGCTAATCAATTTCAAATTTATGTCGAAAGAAATACAAAGTATAACACTGTTGTGTGTGAAACACAATACTGTTTGAAAATAAACCCTTGTTATATCCTATGAAAACAATTTATATTTAAAACCATAACAATAACATGTGCTTCATGTAACTGAAACAAGATTATTAAAGTTGAAAAATTACTATTTCTTCAATATAAAGAGTTCTGAAACTTTTCTTCTTACCAAATTCTTTACTACAGTAAGAGTATATTTTAAACTTTAATAGGTATTATTGTTACGTATCAATATCAAAGTTAAAATATAGCATCTTCAAATTTTATACTATACTTTATCTATTAATAATGATATAAATACCAATGAGTATTTTGAATATAAAAAAGATATGTTTATGTACATATTAGATGTGTAATAATTACATCTCTTCAATTTAGGAAATAATAAATGTTAAATCACAGAGAAAGTTCTATACTTTCCTCTTTATTATGATTCATGTAACACAGATATCAGCTTAATTATAATGTTGAAAAATCATTTTCTATCCCCGAAAGTCTCAATATTTAGTTTTATTACATAGAACCTAGTAAAAGTATGTTATACACTGTTAGGTATTAAATGTTATATAACCATAAAAAATATTTCTAATGAGAGAAATGTAAAAACATTTATTGGATTCTATATATTGAACTCATTTTAAGAAATATCTTATTTTGAACATATAATCCATTCATATAAATCATTGTCTCTTTTATTTTTATCACTCATTTTTATAAAATTCTAACAAATCTGACATTCAAAGTTACAAATGTATCATCTTCCTGTTATTTACAAAGATAAAATAAATGCATGATATACTTAAGATTACCAAAATTTAAGTTTTTTGGAAAACAAACAATAAGCGAAGAATTAGACATTATCTACAATATATAAAAATTCTTGAAATATTACAGAAATGTCTGATTTCTTCTAAAGGGAAAAACTCAGAATACATGAAATATTTTTCATGTGAAAAGTATATAATTACTAGAGCTTTTGCAGGTGATTGTGCTACACAGTCTCAACTATAATGTAGAGAATGTGCATAGATCTTTGAGCTTAATTTGCAAAAATGGGTCTATTTAAAAATTTTTAATAAGCATGGGTTCAAGGTAAAGGAGAATGCAAGGAATCATTTTTGACAAGAATTAGTGTGGAACAATGATATTTTAAGTGATGAATGTCAAATTCAATGAATGTAAACAAACTTATAGGTTATTAAGAGGCTGGAAACTATGTAAAATTACAGAAAATTATGATTTAGTGGAGACAAGTCCCTGAGCTCATAAGGTCGGCGAGACCCCGCCCTATACGTAGAAATCTTTTAAACAAAATTACAATGATTTTTTTCATTTTTACGAGGGTTTTTCTTCTAGTAGTTCAATGAAACGCATGTGACAACGCGATTTTTCCCTACTCCAAACAACACCGCGGCCATATCACGCAAATTGATCTTTAAAACAACATTGACGGTCGTATCGGCAACGAAAACAAACAATTATTACTAAAAAAAAATTGAAGAAAAGCTGAAACTTAAACAATTTTCGAACCCGACCACTCACCTGCATCGTTCCGTCTGCGCGTCGCACCGATATCTCGATATTACACGCACCACGCACAAAATCACGTTAATTTAATAATTGAACTGCCGCGTATACACGTATTCGTAATATTAAACGATTATTAATGCATAAAGTCGCGACATCGTGCAAAATTATCGAATTTTCACGTACTATATGGTCACGGGCCTGAGCTTGGCCGCCATTTTGTGAACTCGACTCGTTCTTTCGCCCTCCCCGACCGTCCTCCCGTCTACCATCCCGTCGTGCAACGCGCGCGCGCTCCTCCCTCCCCGTCTTTCATCTACACCCCTCGCTAAAACGAACGCCCTGGAAATACGATAAAGATTAAATCTTATATAAATATAATACGAAAATTTGAAAAAAATATGTTTCTACATAAAATGACGATTCATATTCCTTAGTTTCATCCATGAATTTTAAAAAGAAATAATAATTTAACGAATAACATTACAACGTAGTCACAAAACGGAAATCGTTGTATGACAGCCATTTTGATTACTCACAGATATTTTACCCAGAATGCCTAGCAAGTTTTTCGATTGCTTTGTATATGCGCAATTACGTTGATCGTGTAAAACATGCAATGAAATTTGTTTATGCACACAATATACTTTAACATTTTTTATATATCTTATTTAAATTACAAATTGAAATACATAGGAAATCGAAATTATTCAATTATTATATTGACTTAACTTTATTTCTATATAAAAATTAAATCAAAAAACTTGACTAATAATATGTATGAAAATAGTAAATGTACGACATTATTTTCGAGCTCAGAGACTTAATCTCATTTCTTCGATCGTAATCATAGCACTATGGATGATAGATTGAAAAAGACCAGCATATAATTATATGAACGTCAATGGTGTCACCATGCAAAGTGAATAAGCGGTTTTATAAAGCAACAGAATGTGTAAAAGCTGTCGTTTTACATCAGATTGGGTTGAGACAAAAGTCAAAATTGATTCAATTGAAACAATAAAATATTAGGTATTTTAAATAGGAAAAAAATTATTTCTAATAAAACAAATAGTTTTACCCGGTCCAATGAAAACCAGCTTGTGCTTTCGCAGGCGATGAAATTAACGTATTATGACGAGAATGAAAGACGAAAAATATTACCCAGGCACCCGTGGCACGTCATACCGGAAAAGGAAGAAAAGCCCACAGGTTCGATAAACGATTATTTACGGCTTCCGGTCGAAAATCGATTTCTCACTAGCACATTCGATTTTATATATCGATATCTCGTTTGACGATACGCGCGTAAAATAATTGTACAAAATTGTCATAAAACAATGTAACATTAAAAACCAATAGAATAATATTTACTTATATCTAAAATAAAGTAGAATTTAAAGAATTATGTTTTCGTTACATTTAACTCATACTTTAACGTGGATTCTTTATTTATATATAAAAATAAAATTAAGATTAAAACGAATTAAATTTTGGAAATAGCGTGTAATTTATTTAATAAAATTCATAAGAAAATTAAGTGCATTTTCTTTATTTACATTACAACTTTAGTTTGTTTACAGTTTTCAATGTACATTTGAAATAATTTCAAGAAAGAGATAAAAAGTATCTATGTAATGCATATACAACAAATTATGTTTATATATACATATATGTATTCTACACGTATTACTTAGCATATATAAATATTAACACATGTGAATGTTCTTATCAGAATTAATTTTTAGTAATTCAATGTGACATATAAAGATAAAATATATCACATTTTATTAGATAATTGTAGATTAATAATTTGCAATATTCACACTTCCTATATTAACTTGGAATTATGTAAGAATTCAGTCTTAAATTAACTCAAAGCATAACGATAATATAATATTATTCTTAATAAGAAAAAGCCAACAAAGGTAAAAATTTCGTATTCACTTTCAATGACAATATTTTATTGTAACATATCATAGTACTAAAGGATACTTGCATAAATGAGTCATGAAAGTCAACACATGTAATTTACAGATATGCGTTATGTAGAATTGGGCGTTTCATCTTCTTTGTCTAGCAATTTTTTAGCTTCTGTATCTGGTAACCAAAGACCGCTATCAATACAACGTTTCATATGATATACAGCTTCATTTTGTGGCATCACTGCTAATGTTTGTTGCAATAAAGCATGATCTTGTGTTTCAAAACATTTTTGTAGAGGCTGAAATTAATATATTATGTTAATGACATAATACATTAAAATTATAACTATAAATACGTATGATAAATTGTTTGTACCTTTGGAAGACTTTCAAATACTTCAACTGGATCAAGTCCGCCGGGACCACAACGTGCTTTCTTCTCTTCTTCTTCAGCTTCTTTCAGAGCATCCGCTACTTTTTCGGCAGCTCTCTTACGTATTCTATCTTTAAATGCCCTTAATTCATCTTCGAAAGAACTTCTATATTCTACTTCAGTATTTTGAATACGACTAAAGAATGAACTCACACAAGCTCTTGGATCAACATCCAATTGTTTTGATAATTCAAGAATACATTGCATAGATATGCATTGATGAGCAACATGTTCCATTAATTCATGTTTCTAAAATTAGCAATATATCAGTAAAATAAATTCTTCAAGTAATTAATGGAGTTTATTATAAACATTAAAACATACTTACTTCTTCTATTTCTAAGTTAATACACCAAATAACTAAATAATTTGCAGTATTTTCACATACTAATTGAGGATTATCTGCCAAATATTTTTTACTATCATCATACCTTCTTAGCATACCAAATTCTTTTAATTTCTTTTCATTTTCTTTTACAAACACTTTCATTTTCTTTTCCTTTTCTTCATCAGATAAACCATTGTCATCTCCCTTACGTACTGGCCTTTTATTAATCATTGTTTTTGTAAAACCATCTTGACCAATAGTATCAACATTCCAAGGTGTTAATTTCTCTTTCTTCTTCATTTCCTCTTCTTTTTCTTTAATTCTTTTTTCTTCCTGTTCCAGGTCTTGCAAAACTTGTTTTAATAAAGTTAAATCTGTTGAATCACTTTGTTCACTGTTCAATTTTGCAAGTTTTTCTTCTGTTTCCTTCAACTTTCTTAATGTTCTACAAATGATATGAATTTTGAAAATGATAATACTAAAATATTATTGTTATAAACTGATTTATGATTTATTTATAACTTTCTAATATAACAATTAACATACTCTGATTTTTTCCTTTCATGTTCTTCTTGTTCACGTTTCCGTTCTTCCATTCTTTCAAGTCTTGCTTGATGACGCCATCTAAATAACGATGGTGTATCAATGTTTGGATGAGTATCATCTTCATCGTCTGAAATCTGACAAACATAAATTTTATTGTCTCTTTGAGTATGAACATTATATGCTTTCTGTAAATTACTTTAAATAAATAAATAATTAAATATATATTATAAATAATAATACTTAATGACTGATAAAAATAGAAAAAAAAGTACTAATTATAAAAATTGCATATTTATGTTAGTATAGAAAATTTATGCTAAGAAATATATAAAACTTTTTCATAATTTGTTAACAATAAATACATAGATCCAAATTTGATAATTATTTAATATTTTTTAAGTGTACAAATAAAAAGTACTCTCGAAATTTCTACTACAACTCTAGAATATTCCATAAGCATACTGGGCCAAAATTAAAGTTCTTACTTCAATATCTTTCCATTTACTATAATCCACCATTGTTTAGCTGGTTAAAAGTATTATTTATTCAATTATATATTCTTATGAAATTGGTTATTTTTATATGTGTGATTTGTGTATAAAGTATGTTGTTTTTTTTTACTTTTGCTAAAGCAGAAACACGACGCCCGTACTTGTCGAAGTTTAATTGTCAACTATACTGACGTGAATATAGAGCTTATAATCGCACGAGATAATCGTTCGATGTATCATATCAGTGGTTCTCAAATTGTAAATTATTTTAAATATACGAAATTAAGTTACATTTAATTATTGAACTTATGTTTTGTAATTTAAATAGAATGAGTTAGGCATTAACAATAATAGAAAATATTTTTATTCGTCTTTATTAGAGAAAATACTATTTGTCATAATAATATATTGTATGTGAAATAAAAAATTGATTATTATTATTATTATATGTTTTATAAATGTATATGTGATAAAACTAAAATTTTTTCAATCAAATCACATATTTGATTCAAAAATGTAATTTTTTTGCATAATATAGTGTATAAATATTATGTAAACACGTGTAGTCCATTCATATTGAAATTGGTGTCATATGTAAACACTTCAAATCTTGGGATATTCAATGAAAACGTTTTATTTAATTTTTATTCAATGTATTTCATATTTTGAGGAGAATGATTGGTATGCGAATGAACGCGTTTAACGATACAGGACTTGGTGAACCAGAGCAAGATGCAAATACTGCACTTATAGAATTAGATAAAGGTTTGTTTATAGTCTTCAAATTAACCTCATATCAATTTTGTTTCGCAGCTTTTATGAAATTGATACTGAACGAGATATAAATAAAATCATTAATAAATACTCGTCAAGTATACAATTTTATTAAGTAATAATATTAATTAATACCGGATAATAATGTATTTTTAATATAATATTTTAATGGCTTTGAAATTCATTTTATAGCGATTTATTTATTAACGATATTTTTTAGGTTTACGATCAACAAAAATTGGTGAACAATGTGAAGCTATAGTACGATTTCCTCGATTATTCGAAAAATATCCTTTTCCTATACTGATAAATTCTTCTCTTTTAAAATTGGCAGAAGTTTTTCGTACTGGCAGTAATTTTTTACGTGTTTGGGTTCTTAGAGTGTGTCAACAAAGTGAAAAACATTTAGATAAAATTTTAAATGTTGATGAATTTGTAAGACGTATTTATAGTGTAATACATTCTAATGATCCAGTTGCTAGAGCTTTGACTTTACGAACATTAGGCAGTGTAGCTGGTATTATTCCAGAAAGACAACAAGTAAAATATCAATTATTTTTGTACTTTAATTTTTGTTTAACTATCTGTTTAAATTTAAAAATAAAACATTATTTAATTTATAAGGTTCATCATAGTATAAGAAGGTCATTAGATTCTCATGATTCAGTTGAGGTTGAAGCTGCAATATATGCTGCACAAATGTTTGCTGCACAGTCAAAATTATTTGCTGTTTCCATGTGTAGTAAGATATCTGATATGATTAGAGGTCAAGCAACACCAGCCTCAATGAAATTACAACTTATACCTATTTTACAATACATGCATCACGATACTTTTACAGCTTCAATGGTATGTAAATGTTAATTTTACATTTTTTAAAGTATTTTTTAATAATATTTAAATACTTTCATAATTATTCCATAAATATAAATTTTTTAAAGGTAAATGAATTGTGTATGGAACTTCTTGCTAGTTATCCAGCAGTTGAATTTGTCAGAGTTACGTTAAGTGCTTTAAGTACACTAGCTTCTGCAACATTAATTGATGTTCCACAACAAGTTGCACTTTTATTACGTTATTTGCAAGATGATCCAAGATTAACTATCAAACGCCATGCTCTATACCTATTACATTCTCTAGCAAGGAGAGGAGCACATTTGTGGCCACAAGGTGCTCTTAATAATCTGATAGGTATGTATGATAAACAGGTAATTTTGTGTGATAAAAGAAAATATTCTATATATTTTATGTCTTAGAGAGTACTACAACACTTTTGCAAGATGGTGCTGGGAATAAAGATCTTCTTATTCGAACATTAGACGTAATCGAGGTTATTACTTAAAATTTATTGTGAAATAACAATGGAAAAGAAAATTCTTTTAGATATTAAGATTTACAAATAAATTTTTTAAATTATTTAAATTAGGTACTGAGTCAAAGTGCAGTAACATGTGATGCAAATAGAGAAGAAGGAAATCCTCTTTTATCATTGTGTGTAAATGCTTGCTATTCTCCTGATCCTTTTATTGCAGTGAAAGCAATTACTATTTTAGCAAGAGTTGCATGCTATTGGTGTGTATTTAGTTATTCTTTTATTTGTCATCTAGATATAGGGGTATAAGGGAATGGATTAAATTATGCATAACTGAAGTTTTAATTTCTTATTTGTAGTTACGAAGAAGGTTTACCAGCCTATGGAATTCAAGATGTTGTATCTTGTCTTGAATCTTTAATTGTACTATTAGCTTTGGATCATAAATATTTACGTCAGTTAAAAGTTTGTTTACGTTCTACAGTAAAATTATGTCGAGCTCAACCTAGGCATTGTTCGATATTTGTCGATGCTATCGGTAGTACACTTTTTAACACTCATGCAGACGGTGATCAAAGTGAGAAACAAGCACTTGCTTTGTGTGAAGCATTAGGTGCTATTGGAAGTTTAGGTGAAAATACATTACTTCCACTTTTACCAGATATATTAATAAAACTTGAACAGACTGTACATATACATGCAAAGGTAAAATTATAAATGAAACATATGCATGTTTTATAAAAAATGAAATAAAAATATAAATCTTTTTTCTAAAGGTAATGTTATGTACATTACTTTTTCAAATGATAGCTGGAGGCTATGAATGGAATTCTGAATGTTTGGAGGCAGTAGAAGAAGTTATTAAAAATGTAGATGGATGGGCCAAATATCGAATTGCGCGTAGTGCCGCAAGATATGGTCATCATACAATAGCAACTCAAATATTTAGGAGTTTAAAGGAAACAGTTGCGTCTGAACAATTACACTTTTGGCTGTCTGGTTTGGAATTAGTCACAAAAGCTGAAAGCTATCTTATGTTAGTCTCTACTTGACTTTGGTTAATTACTCTATGAAAGTATATATTTCTATTTCTCAAATGTGTTTATTCTTACAGGGAAAAAACAGAAGAAGTAGAAAGCAAAGCAAGAGTCCATACTGTGGAAAAGTTAAACGGAGCTATTGCTCGTTATGCAAGTGCATGCGCTTCTTTAAAAGCCGCTAGTACACCATTACGAAGCTTACAATTTGCTAGCGAATACTCAAAACTGCGATGTGAATTTCTTCAAGCTATTGTACAGCTTTTACATTCATGCAGGTATTTTAAATAAATGTTATATAATTACTATATTTTATAACTATTAGAAACTATATAAATATAACTGTATTTTAGATCTCTTTGTACTGCTCCACCACCAGCTATTACATGTACAGTGGTTCTTACTACAAAAGATGATCTTCAACGATATGGTCGGGTTACTAATCAGGTATTTTATCTGTTTTCATATTTTCCGTTAAGTTTTAAATATGTTACTAATACAATTATGTATATTTCTTAGTTAAGAAAATCAGCTCAAGAACTTAAAAACTGTGCAGAAAATTATCAGAAACTTTATCAGTCAGCTTTTGATGCTGATCCCGGTTCGTTAACAAACATTCGAGCGTATCCTTTATCGAAATATGATCAATTTTTAATTTATATTTTCAATATGTGTTTCCTTGACCCACTGTAAATAGGTTGCAAGAGATTTGTCGATTGTTAGCGAACAGTGTCGAACGTGTTTGTGGCGGTACAGGAATTCAAACATATCATCAGAGTGAAGTGAATTTTAATTTTGGCGATATCGTAGAAATGCGTCAGCTGGCTCGTTGTTGCACCGAGTTACGTCGTTTAGCGCCAACCTATATAGGTGAAAATAAAGCAGCGGCGCTCAGTCATTCGAGAATAAATTGCTTAGTCTCACAGGTGATGTTATTAGCTGGAACAAAAATGAGATTACCAATGCCTCGGTACTATTTCCAAGCTTTGCAAGCAACTAGTGTCAAATTATCTGTTTCACCGCAACCTCGTGTTCTTGGTGAACCGGTGTCTGTTCCTCAAGGAAGTCAATTAGCGTTAAAAGTCGAAGGAGTTCTACGACATGGTCGACGCGCTTCTCTTTATCGTTCCGTTGCTGCTGTTTGTATTTCCATTTCTACCTCGCCGCCGTCGAAGATCAATTCGGATCAAAAGGTACAAATTAATACTCCCGTAGTAAATCCTTTACATGTATTTATTTTGATATTTTTTATACTCATAGATGTATTAAATAAATAAAAATAAGTTTACTTGCAGGATTCCAATTTCAACGAATTACAGCAAACTGTCACACCGCATCGCGATTTCTTCGCTTGTGAGTTTCTATTATCATTGGGAAGTCCAAGTACGGCTTCAACTGCTTGTGCAAGTAATAGTACCAATGTGAATAACAACATGAACAGTAGTGCCGGACAGTATCAAGTCACAGCAAGCGCGAGTATACTGGACAAGGATGGTAACGTGTGGAAATGTGGACCACGTTCCACGCTTCAAGTCAGAGTGCACGAAGAGCCAGCCAAAAGAAAGTTACCATAACGACGTGTTCATGCACTTTTTATTATACATAATCTGTATGTACTTGAAATATAGAATAAAAAATTGTTTTACTTTAATACAAATTATCTGATTACATTTTATTAATTATCGTCTTGTAAAAGATTTCTTTTAAACATTATAAAAATTTCATCTGTTTTATAACGCATATGGTATCGATTTAGATGGAAAACGATTTTATGAATTTGGTTGAAATATAATCGTTCAAAATCTACGATTCGATAGGGGGTAAAGGACCGAGTAGAGGAGTAGCGATAGTCGTACGAGTGGACGCGCCGTGAGAAAGCCCATAAAAGGGAGATTGCGAGGGTGTTCGGCGCACAGTCGTGCACCGTCTGTCCGTTAGAACGGTACGCGCCACATCTTCACATTCGTGCTACATTTGATTCGAGCATCATCTCGAGAAGAGCAACAGTTATGCTCTCAAATCATTGTGTCATTGGCTGACAAGGTCCAATATCGAATTTCGTCACGCGTTTCTGCGCGGTAAGTAACGTCATTTTCCTTTTTAATTTTAAATTATTGTTACTAATCATAACGTGAAGTTTAACCTTTTCGAACTAACGCCTAGTATGACACTTTTTCCTCGAAATACAAATTACGATTTTCATTAAGAGAAATTCGTTACTTTGTTTCAACAAACATGCTAATTAGTCACATTTTTCAAATTTTATTTTCGTATCACTAATTTCAAATGTATTAATAAATTGCAAATGCGTAGTTCGATAATTTATATCGAATTTAAATCAATACGCGTGGTTAGGTAGCAGCGTGAAATTTAAAATGGAAGAGTAAACGAGTCTTGATTCTTTTACGATAATTTACAATAATTTACGACACTTTTGCCGTCATTTTTCAACTCTCCACGATGTTATTCGATTTAAATCAACGCAAAGAATTTTTTACCTTTCCCGGTTGAGATAAACATTCTCAGGTAGCAAGAGCTAATTAATATTTTTAGAAAGACGCAACAACTCGTACATTTACGGTAATTAACTAACGTAAGCGTTGCTTTTAAACGATTACGCGTAACGTGAAATTGCGCTCTTTTTCCAGTATCAAAAGAACTGCGTGTATAAACTGCGTTTATTCGAAGGAAGCCCAGCTTCATACCTCCTTGCGAAATTACAAACGTTACGCATTCACGCGTATCTTCGCATAAACGCCATCAATTAAAACGGGACCGCCCCCCGCCCCCCTCCAAATAAATAAAAGGAAAACAAAGATTTTCCAAATTTTCAAACAATTCTCGTTCGGAATAATTAAAAAGACGAATCACAAAAAAAAGAAAAAAAAGAAAAAAAAGAAAAAAAAAAAGAAAAGAATCGGTTACCTCGTTTGTCCAGCCTATCTTCTAATTATCTCGAGCATTGTACGAGCATCTACAACCATCGTGGAAAGGAATATTTTCTTCTATGCCGTAGCCCTCGCGTTTTATTCGAGCGTTGCCTCGTTCAAGGTGTGCGCTCCTCGTTTCTTTTTCCAATTATCTTCGCACATGCCCGGTGAACGCTGTTATATGCTTTGCCACGGGGATGAAGACTCGCCAAGCATAATGTACAATGACTGTACCGGCGAGCACTACGGTACTAAGCATTGCGGTTTAAGCTGCACGCCGATGCATGTGCCGTGATTCGAACTACGCTCGCAAGCACCGAGTAGTTGTGCTAAATGGTTCGCAAACTAATGTTCAAAATTCGGGCAATGTCGCGATGATAGTGGGAGTGCGAGGTCGAGAAGTGGAAAGGGGGACGGAATGAGGATAGGGAAATAGAAGAGATGGAGGGCAGAGAGAGAGAGAGGGTGGCAGTAAGTGATGTCTGCGAAGTCTTCCTTAGTTAAAAGTTTTCAAGATTGAATTAAATAAAACTGCGACAATCTTCCCGTTATCCTGTTTTCTGTACGTTTCTTTCTTCGTTTATTTTTCCCCCTTTTTTATTTTCTTAGGCTCTCTTTATCGGGTGCAATTGCGACGAAACGACTTTGGAAATAATTAGCACCGGGAATTCGAGAATACGCGACGTTCGGAAACCGATGACACTGACGAGTATAATGATCGAATCGAGTACTGTTTTTCTTTGGTTCCCTTTTTTGGCTTAATTACGAAGCTTATGCTAAGGTTGAGAAAAATTTGATATCCCCACGGGAAAGGATGAATCCCTTTTCCATGCTCAAATATCGTTATGTACCCTGTTGAACGCCTATTGGATTTTATATAGTTGTAACAGGAAATGGAAACAAGGTTCAGTTTATTTTTCCATGCATAGCAAATCTCATTTCCTTCGTACGTATGTATATGCGAAATAGATATCTTATTCCCATCCGCGCAATCAAAACAGGAAATTCCTAGATATTCCACACTGCAAATATGCAATATCGAGAACGCGATCCCTCGTTTTACATTGTCCATACTCACGGATAATCCGTAAACGAATTTCCAAGCTTTAAATACCCTGTGCTCGCACTTTTTCCCGTTAATCGCGAATTTTTTTCCGTTTTTCAGAAGCACGGGGATATATCCCATGCTTTGTTTCACCCCGTTGATACGCGCGGATAATCCATGAACGGATTTCCGGTGTTTAAATATCCCTTGGTCGAACTTTAAACCCTTACGCTCGAAGATTTTTTCGTCGTGCAGGAAAACAAGCTAATTTGTCGACCCGAAGCTATTTTGTCGCAAAATTGATGGTATTTCTCGCTACGATAGAAGAAAAAGTCGCGTGTAAGTTATTACACGAGACGGTTTTATTTCGAGAGTCCGAAAAATTAACTTCTTTCCATTAATCGCTAATTTTATCGAGATTTTCAAAGGGTAACAGGTCAAAAGATCGTTGTTCCGATTCGAGTCTCAGCTTACAACTACCGTTAATGTATCATGATTCACGTTTATGCCTGCATTTTTCCTCGCCTGCCTGCTAACCGGTAAATGCTTTTGTATTTAAACCGGTGTTCTTTACGATGCAGCCTGTAACTCGAGCTTATTTTATTAACATTGCACCGGTATCGCGTCGGTCCGTTCGAACAAAAGAATACGCCCAGAAGATATATTAGAAACTAGATGCAGTCTAGGGGATTGAATAAGGACGTGGCTACCGTGATATTGCATTTACACGGAGGGGGAGCAGATATTAAATCGGAACAGGAAATTTCTGACCGTTACAGAAAACAAGGAAACAAAAGGAAAAAAAAAAGGGGAAATTAAACAAGATCGGTAAACAAGAATCACGGGTGAAAACGAATGACGTAAAAAGCTTTAAAAAGTTGTTTTGAAAAAGATAAACCGTCCTCTTTTTTCCCTCGTTTCGAAATTGGCTATCCTACACTCGCGTTTATTCTCCAATTAAATGGTACTTTAATTTCATCGAGCTTTACTACGATGTTTGTTCCGATCGGTCACGTTCATCGACGCAAACATAAAGTCCCTCAAAGGTTTCGTATCGCATGTCTGATAAAAGAAATTCGAGAAACGAAATTTACGGTCGCGAGAAACGACGGGGGTGAAAGGAAGAGAGGGGCGAAAATAATAAAAGGAAGAAAAATGGTGCCCGAGCGAAATAGAAAAAAGGAAAAAAAAAGAAAAATGGAAAAAGAAATAAAATAGAATAAAAGGTACAAATTCCCGATGATCCTCGCTTAATCAACGACGTTTTCCCTGGTGCACCGTGAAAATCGAACCGCCTTATTGCAGCCCACTTCTAATTTCACCAGCGGCGCGCTTGTTTCTGCACCCTTTCATCGTGCCACACACGTTGCATCGCGACGAGGGATGTTATATAGGGGAAGTGACGAAAGTGAACGACAGGAATAATGGACAGGTTTGGCTAGAGTGGCTTTTCGTTCGGTAGAGGCATTTGTTCCACCGACAGTAACTCGTGCCCGTAATAAACATGCCGTGCCAGCAGATTGACTGATGATACCGTTCTCCGTTAGATGTTATTGGTTGCTCCTATTACCTTCCACTAGCCACTACTATTTAATGTATCGACGATAATTATTGCAATCGCGCCTCCTTCTCCTTCCCTTATGCGCGAATACATATTTGTTGCATATTCTCCTGCGAGTGAAAGAAATAAAGCAGTGAACGGAAGCAGAGATTTAGCGAGGATACCGTGACTAAAGTGACGATAATTGGCAGGAAGTTGCAACGCGAGAGCAATTGGTCGAATGAATTTCGCCCACGAAAGTGGGGACAATAGCGAAATTTCGTATTACGGAGTTGTATCGCGTCTGATCGAGCAAGAGCGACAAGTAGGTATAATTAGGTGCTCGCTAACCAACGGGAAATAGAATTCTTCTCGAACCGAGCTTCCTAACCTGTATACCGTTTCGGCGTGATTCCGCGGACACTCGTGGTAAAAAGAGAAAAACAACGAAACGAGCGAGTAGGATAATAGAAAACGGAGATATACAAACTGGATGAAAAAGAGAATCTACGTAAAGGGAAGAAAGGCGAGGAAAAGAAAATTCGTGCTTGCGGTCGCGCACTCGGTGAAGTCGAGTCATTTAGGGGTTATTTATCCCGGGATAGACATCCGTGGGCGGCGATACGGATTTTTATTGTATTTCAGGCTGTTCGAAATTTTTTATTTTGCCAGGAGAACGGTTGAATGCTTTGGCGGGGGCTCGTCGCTAGGCCAGAAAAGAGAGATCTCTCCGGCATTGAGGAGGAACAGGGAGGGAGGGAAAG